CTCAGTCATTTGAAAATCTTCTACAGCTCTGTTCATCATTTTGGACACGTGTAAGATTTCTTCACAGCTTCAAACTCATTATTTAAAACCTGTGAAGCTGCACACCATTAGCATCATATTAGAATAGTTTAATCCTGCAACAAATTGGGCTTTGTTATTTGCATAGTTATATATTTTTTCATCTGATGGCCCCTCTCTCTCTCTCTCTCTCTCTCTCTCTCTCATCTCTCATTCTCACTCTAGCTGTGGTCAAGAAGACCCTACATACTCCGCTCTATGGGGTGATAATAAGGCCTTCGATGAGGTCATCATCTCTCCAGCCATGCTGAATGAGCACATGCCACATGTGGTGATGGAGGGCCTCAACAAGGTTTGTGTGTGTTTTTTATGTGCTTTTTCTGAGGATCATGTTTCTGGTGCAGCTCTCTGTGGGTGTTTTGGATGAACTGAGGCACTCAGAGCCACTCCACACACACATACAGAATATTAGTATCTGTTCTGCTGTAGAGGGATTAGAGAAACTGACACTACGCAAATCTGCAAATCTACAAATCTCTTAGCAACACATTTTCTTTATTTAGCTCGGCTGTGTGTGGACTGGCTGGGGGCTCTGGGCTGGTGATTCGTTCTTATGAAGGCTTTTCTGCTAAACTGGAACTGGGCATGCTGGTGCTGCAAAGCTTTGGTGTCTGTGCGTACATGTGTGTGTAAAAGCTAAATTTGTCATGTTTTGTTGCAGACAGTGGTGGTGCTAAGTTTGCCTTTGAGAGAGGGCTTCAACAGTTAATCCACAAAGTCGATTAACCCTTTAAAAAGTAGATATGTGTTGTCTACTGCAGGAAGTGTGTGGGCAATATGGCATTCATTGTTTCATTTAAAAAGCGCTCTATAATGTTCATATGATCCACACAGTCATTCTGACAGACTGTAATACACTACAGCAAGTGTAGGGGGCGATATGGCTTCTATTGTTTCATTTAAAAAGTGCTCTATAATGTTCATGTTCTCCGCACAGTCATTCTGACAGACTATAATACGCTACAGGAAGTTAGAGGGCAATCTCCATGTCACTTTTTTGGAGAATCATTTATGAATTACCTCTTCAAATAAAAATGATTCTGAATTAAATGTCTCTGGCTAACAGCTAGCTTTCTAATTATCCTTAAAGCTTAACTGTAAGCAGTAACATCAGCTCATGCTAACTTAATGCTAAATAGCGACCTAGCTATTATTTACTGGGATATCATGACTCTTCCTTGTGTTTTATTTTTACCTGTTTTGTTATTATTTTTTCTGTTTTTCTCCATTGCTTAGGACACTGGAACTCTAAAAATGCATGATTAGCATTAGTTGTGCTAGCTATTTAGCTATCTGTGTTGCTCTATTCATAGCTAGACTAATTGATTATAGAGATAATCCTGTGTTACAGCCTTGCATTAAGGCATTTTGCACTCTTTCCTTCACTTTGGGTTTTTTGCAGGGGTCTCCTCCTCTTCTCCTCCTTCTTCTCAGCACAGGCTTTACTCGCAGGTCTCTGTTTGTGTCCACTTTTTCTCCTGTATAGCAGAAGTATTGTACAGTAACGTGTTTTGGTGTTTCTGCAGGTGCTGGAAAACCCATTTTTCCTTTCAGACAAGTTTGCTGTTGAAGACGAGGAGGCTAATGCTGGTGTTGATGTTTCTCAAATTCCTCCAGATTCCCCTCTGAGTCCTCTCATTTCAGACGAATCCTTTTCTCCAAATTTAGCCTGTCCCTTCACTTTCCCCCCAAATGAAGCAGTTTCTACTCAACCAGTATCCCAAATCCCTTTACAGCAGCAGCAGCAGCAGCAGCCTTCAGCTGCCCCGGAAAACTCTGTCCCGGAAAACTCTGCACCACTCAATGCTGCAGTTAACCCTTCACCAGCAGCATCGCCTTCAGATGCTCAAATGCCAGAGTCTCCAGCAGCTGGAAGTCATCAAATATCAGATACTCCAGACCCACCTGGTGCTTTCTCAGCACCACTATAATGTCTATATAACACACAGTACATCTGTTAACTCTCTGGAGTATCATACTGTCCGTTCAGTTAGAGATGAGCTATTTGACCAATTCATGCTCTGCCCACAGATGCATTCTTTTATGGCAGCTTTTGAGATGCTCTCTTTAAACCTTTGTTTAGAGTTGCTATGCTATGTTCAGCTTCCAGTTTAAATTGCTTCGCTACCGAGCTGGACCGTGTTGTAATAGTGAATCGAATCAAGGCACGTTGTAAACAACAACGACAAATTTTCCACCATGTTAACGTTAGCTCGATCACACAACAAAATCTGGTGTGGCTTTTTTTGCACATAGAAAATAAATACATTTCAATCAAGTGTCACATTATATTAAATACTTTTCCCAATATGTTAAATTCAGCAAAAAAAAAAAAAACAGTAATTGTGCATTAAAATGTGTGTGTCTCTGTAGAGGATGTGTTCACTTATTTACACTTAGAAAAGCAAACAAAACATATACTTTGACCAGGGGTGTTCAAACTTTTGCACACCGCTGTCTCATTTAAAACTAATGTTGCACTCTTATGTAAGGTTTGTTCTGCACCTTCTCAGTTCTCGTTTGCTTGAAAGGTTTTCGCTAATGTTCTTTAAATCTCCAACCTGGACTAAATTGCTGTGAATGGATTTGTGGGCGGAGCTAAGTCATATTTCTCATTTAACCATGAAAATTCTGACAAATCTGTAAAGCAGATATTATAACTAGCCTAAAAACCTCTTATGTAACTTCTTGTTTCAGTCCCCTTAAAAAAGATGGTTCTTCAAGGGTTCTTTAGTAAAGGCAGTGGTTCTGTTTAGAGTTCTTTATAGAACCATGCTTACATGGTTTCAGGTTGGAGAATGTGTTGTATATGGTTCTATATGGCACTATAAAGGGTTCTGTAATTGTTAGGATTTCAAGCTTGTAACAACAGCAGAACCCTTTGGTGCTTCATAGAACCATTTTCAAAAAGGTTCTATAAAGATATATATATACACAACACATTCTCCATCAATCTTAAGGACTGTTTCGCCATGCAAAGAACCATTAATGCATGAAACGGTTCTAAATAGGATTGCCTTCACTAAAGGACCCTTGAACTATCTTTTTTAAGTGTGCAGAATTTGCACACTTTATATCCAGAGCTTTGTTCCCAAAGATGCTCACAATATCGCACAGAACTTCTCAGAGTACTGTGCTAATTGTTAGCAGTTCTTATTTGCTGTCATTTAACGCTTTAACATCTCTGATGTGAATCACTTTCTTCGGGTCTCTTGTCTCCAGTTTCCGTTAAATGTCCAAGTTTATTCATTGAATGTCGTTTAAAGGTGCAGTGTGTTAGATTCAGGGAGATCTATTAGCAGAAATGGAATATAGTAAACAAAGTCATGTTTTCATTAGTGTATAATCACCTGTAACTACAAATCGTGGTGTTTTCGTAATCTTATAATAAGTCTTTCATATCTACTTACGGAGCAGCTCCTCTTCCAAAAGAGACCACTATGTTGTGCAAGCCATGTTTCTACAGTAGCCCAGAATGGACAAATCAGCTTTTACGCTGAAGGGGCAGTTTGAATTTGGTGGTGCTATTGCTCTAATTGGAAGACATAGAAAGAAGAATCAGTGGTTGCTGCTGGTGCTGGCTGACCATTTAATGTTGTGAGAAGTTTGACAAATGGAGGATCAGACTTATTATTTAGCACAAGACAAAGTGAGAGAGGGTGAATCCTCGCCATCACAGAAGCGAAAACATGAATAAGCAAAATGAAATCGGGACAGATGACGGCAGAACACCTGACTAGGTTCTGTTACGCAGTTAGAAAGGGAGGGGTGAGGGAGGGGCATTAAGTTGGTTGCAATCTGCAACATCACCACTAGATGCCACTAAATCTTACACGCTGGACCTTTAAGCTGCAAATATTCAGCAAATCTGAGCTGTAGATTAACCAAATCTTATTCCTTTCCATAGTAACCATCTTGTTTCACTCTAGGTGTCGTGTCCCTGCTGTATACTGCTACGGTGGTGTCTGCTCACTCTTTCCTGTTCTGTATAGAGCTCCCTCTTTCTTTTTTGCCGTTTTTTTTTCTCCCTCTCATTCTGTATTGAGTATCGCAAAGCTGAATGAAGTGTCTTGTTTTACGCTCACTCTTTCTGTGCTGCTGTTTGCAAGGATTCTTTCAAAAAGTCGCTGCTATAACAAAACCTTGAGATTTTATATTAGAAGGAAAAGACGTTTTTTAACTTTTAAAGAACACACTTAAACAAGATAGTTCTTCAGGGGTTCTTTAGTAAAGAAAATTGTTCTATATAGCACGAAAAAGGGTTCTTGTATTGTTACAAACTTGACACCATAACAATAGAAAGAACCCTTTTCAAAAAGGTTCTGTATAGAACCATATACAACACCATTCCTTATCAATCTGAAGAATGCTTTCATGATGTAAAGAACCTTTAATCATGCAAAGGGTTCTTTGAGTGTTCATGGTTCTATATGGAACCATTTTTTTTTGTTGGTTTGTTCATTGTGAAATATTTTGCAAAGTGAAAAAGGACAGCAAATTGTTTCTTAAATAAAAAAATAAATAAATAGGGGGAAAAAGGGTTTCAAGGTTTTGATGTGGCAGTGACAGAATGTCTTCCTGTGTTTTGATTTGCTCTGTAGTTTACGTTCTCTCCTCTGCTGACCAGGTGAAATGAGACAGCCTGTGTGTTGTGTGTGTTTACACTGTATCACTTTTCTCTCCTGCTGTTGGTGGCGGCGTGCAAGTAACGGTTTGTTTTGGTTCTGGTAAACTGAGACAGACTTGACCTCAGCTCTGCGGCCCACGTCACATACCGTTTCAAAACACAGTGTCATGTTTACTTGCTTAAGGTAGCCTTAATTGAGGAGGATATTTACTAGATGCTTGTTAAAGCTGCGTAATTATATAATTTGTTAATTGTTATAATGATATTGACCTTTGCTGTAGTGATATATTGTCACTGACCAGGACAATATTGTTTTTTTTGTCTTTATTTTGTCTACATTTTGCGGTTCTAATATATTCATACCACAATTTTATCAGCTTATTGCATGGTTGCCTCATTAAGCAGTGATGCAAGCCAGTCTGAATGTGTATCTCATGTGTAAAAGCTGTGTGCGCCACACATCTCCAGCATGGCCTCTAGGCTCGTAAGTGTTATTTAGTAATATTTTATTAAAGCATTATATAGGCTCATGGCATGACTCTGACATTCAGACCACTGTTACATTTGTGTTTGTTTTGTTTGTGTTTGTGGTGTGTTTGACTTGCACAACATCGCCATACTTTGATTATGAATATGGACACTTTGTTACATTTATCATATCTGTTTGTGGTTCCTTTGATCTGTTTTTAATCTCATTAACATGTTAACATTAATAAACATATCATTGTTTCATCCTTGGGGCGTGTATGACTGGAGTTGTTTGTGTGAATGTGTTTTAATCTGTCCCGTAATTGACCTGTCTGTGCTCCAGATACGAATGTGTTCTTTTATAACAACTGTTGAGTTATATGGACCCTTAGGAAAAACAGAATATGTCTGTAACAAGCTGTAATATTACTGTAGTCCTGGTAGAACTTAGTATAGTAACACTTGTATTACTGCAGCAATATTGTAGTAACAGTATTATAGTACTACAGGATATTAGTATTGCTAATAGCCTATAGTAATCACAGTACTACACTGCAGTAGTTTCCTTATTATAGTAATTGGATTTACTAATTTAAGATTCTGATCAGAATACTGGTGTAGAAAGTTTTGTAGTATTACCATAGAGGTCTTAAAGTTTCAGGTCCTGGAACTGGTAAGCATTATTACTCGAAGGGTAATTCAACCAGTTTTTCAAAAAATTCTGTACAATTCAGTGTTTGAGATGTAAACAGAGTGATTCAGAGTGGTTTGGTGTTAAATGGTTCAGATTTCATTATGGTGGTGGTGATGGGAACAAGGGGTTGCCATTACTACAACACAAATGTAGACATTTTATTTACTGTCCAAAGCCACCAGTGAACCTACATGTGTCTGCTGAGCTTTATATGGAATGTTAAAAAATAGTATAAATCTGAAATAAGTTTTCTTTGGGGACTATTTCACCTCATAACTCCCTGCAAGTATCCCTCCACCATGAACAGATACATTGTAGGCTGAACAATGTCTCAGACTTCAGGCAGTGTATTCAAAACCATTATGTGTAATAACTTTCTGTGAGGGACCTTTTAGAGATGGATATCTGGTTCCTGTCACCACCACTATTAACAATTCTGACTCTGTAAGTTTCTTAGAATGAAGCATGTTTTCATCTTGAAGACTGAATTGTGCATAAATACATAACATTGTGTTGGCAGTTTGAAAAGCTACCATGCTAACATTAGCTTGATTACATGGCAAACAAAACTGTGCCTGGTCTATACTGACAGTCTGACTTTTCATACACATTAAAAAACAAATATCATAAGTGCATAATGTATATAAATAACATGAGTCTGTTCTGCAGTTTCTCATTAGCTTGAATGAATAATTGACTCTAAATGTAGGTATTGTGATATAAACTGAGTCTGTTCTACAGTTTCTCATTAGGTTGAATGAATACCTGACTGTAAATGTAGGTATTGTGATAAACTGAGTCATGTTAGGTGACAACAGCTCTACTACATATTTATCCAGCCCTGGTGTCTACAGAGCTAGACTTCACTAATATCAACCTGTTTGTAAACATGTACTAATTATGTCAGCGTGTTCTGAGTTTGAATAGATTTACAGTTCAAAAGTCAAAACTCAAAACTGCCATTCAGTATAAGTAAGTCGGTTTTCAGCATCAGAAAAAAAAACAAAAAAAAACAGATTTAACAGAGGCCTCACCAACTAAATCTAATCTCAGCTGTTTGAGTGTTCAGTGTGTCACTCTTTACCTTTATTCCAGCTTCCATTCTTTTCAGGAGACTCACTTTGAGTTTCTTAAAGAAATCTGCAGACACACCTCCAAAGTTCAGTCTTAGAAGCTGGTTGATCATTTTCTGAAGTAATTCAAACACATTCAGTGATGTTGAGGTCTGGACTCTGGGGTGGTCAGTCCATTGTTCAGCTTCTTTGTTTGATGTGTCTGTCTCCTTTTCTCAGTGAGGTTCTTCTTGACAGCTACACATCCTTTCAGACCCATAGTGCTGAGTCGTCTTCTTACAGTGGAAGGATGGACAGAAACACCTGTGGATGTTTTCAGATCTGAAGCAGCTTGATTTTCTCCTCTCAAAGATGAAAGCTTTAAGTGCTGTTTGTCTGATGGGGTCAGTTTTGGTGTCTACCATGTCTTCCAGGTGGTTGTTAGGAATCTCTGTAGTGTTTTATAAATTTTGGAAACTCCTGTTTTTTCACTTATTTTCCTTTGACTTTCTCCTTTATGCAAGTGGATTATCTCATATCTAAAATCATCAGAAACATCTCGAGAAAAATGAGTACCTTGTAGTTAATGGCTGTTTAAATTGGAAACTCAATAAATGATTTTTGCACAGTACTGTGCTCGCAGAGAAAGTGTTTAATCTGCACTGGCTGAAATCTGGAGCTCTGTGCTGCATTCACTGAGTGTTTTTGAGGGAGAGAAAACACATGAGACAGCGAGGATTAATTTTTAAACAAAGGAACAAAGCCTGTGTGAAGGGCTCAGTGACTTTGACTGTGAGTCCGTGTGAAATTTCAATGTGACATTTCAGTAATGTTGCATCATTGCACTTTATATTCACCCTTATTAAAATTCACTCTTACATGAATTCTAAGTGATCTATGTGTTTTTGTTCATAGCTTTCTTACTTATAAGGCTTAAAACTTATAATTATATGACCCCTGCCACCGCCTCCCCCTTCCACCCCATCTCTCTTTTTTTCTCTCTTTTAGGTTCTGGAAAATTACAATAAAGGGAAAACAGCTCTTCTGTCTGCCGCAAAGATCATGGTCAGTCCTACAGAAGTGGACCTGAATGCAGAGACCATTTTCCTTGGAGCCTCCAACTCCCAGCAGCCCTCGCCGCCCACACAGCACCGCAGAAACAGCAGTGTCCGGTCAGTCCTGCACGCTAACCCAAACAGTTTTACACCTCACAGTATCTGTTCCATTGCAGGACGTCTGTCTAATGTTTGTAACACTGTATTTCTTCTCATGAGCTTGTTGTAAGATTATTGATTGCTGTTTCTACTGAATTAGTTAAATTAGTTAAATCCAAAATTTACACTTAAATTATTATTGTTACATTATTTTTGGTTTTTTTTCCATTTCTTTTAAAAGATCTTTTTCAGTTTTTCAGAGTTTAACATGAGCACAAAATAAAATTAAAATTAGAAAAATATCCATATGAATAGGCTGCCTACAGTGCCTACTTTTAAAATATTTAATAGTGTATATGTGTATGCAAAAGTTTGAACATACTTTTTTTTAAGTTAAAATAGAGAACACATTTAAATATCATTTTTTTTGCACATTTTAGTGCTCAATTTCTATTTATTTGCTGAGTTTAACATATTGGGGAATATATATATGTATAGTTATATAGTTATAAATTATATATCATATTTTACTATATCTAATATATTATAATAATATATTTAATTTTCCCCAATATATTAAATTCAGCAAATAAATTTATTTTCACTACAGTGTAGACTGTGTACATTTAAAGGGTTGTTTTTATGGATGCGTGTCATCAGCACTGGTCTTGTTTGAAGGCTCATTTAGATGTAATAATGTTAGGGCTTCAAACTGGCTTTACGCAATGAAAACTTCATGCAACTAGTTGTATGTTGTGAGCTGCATGCAGCATAATTTACAGAAAACAGTCAATGCATTCAGTTACTGCACTAGATAGCCAGATAAGCAGCTCACATTTCTTGACATAGCATATCGTTCTCCCTATAAAGTCATGCATGAGCTGTAAAGAAGAATAAACAGTGAAACAAGCAGCCGTTTAACCAGAGGCTTAGCCAAGGGTGAAGCATGGCCGCTTTTCTAGCCACCCCAGTTAGTGAAATTGTGTCATATATTTAATTAATGTGACTGAATGTCTAAAATATGCAACATCAACACAATTTTGTCTTTCTGGTTACTTTTGGCAGTATTTGTATTGATGTAATATTTTACTATTTTATGTGGAAATGATGGACAGATTTACTCATATGCAGAGAAAAAACAATGCATCACCTTTTAGTTTTGTCTTAGCATTGGTTTAAATGGTTTAAACAGCTGTTAGCATTAGCTGGCTGGTTAACATGGATGTTGACAGAAACGATAAATTCACATTTGTTGTCGTGGCTCAGGAAACTGACAAAATGAAAAACTACCAAACTTCAGTCAGTCAGGTGGGGTCTTCTTTTCAGCCACCCAGCCAACCTTCTTCTGTTGTGTTCTCTTGTCCACTAATCCAGTAAAATCAATCATTTGAAAGTACGCCGTTCGAATTGATCACTCGATATGTTATTGCTGTTTCCTGAAACTCGGTGCATCTGTTGCGGCTGAGTTTAAAATGATTTGCACGATGCTTTACATCCCATGTGTCAAACACAAGGCACATGGGCCAGATCAGGCCCGCCACACAATCTTATCCAGCCCCCAAAAGTATTTTAATTTTCTATTATTAGTCCGTTTCACTGTATGCTTCACTACAGGACCCAGTATACACTGCAGCAGAATGTGCCCCGACTCTCCTACCCCAACAACAAACTAAGGGACAGCAGTTACACCTCAATTCTACACAATTCTACGCAATTCCACACTAGTCATATCACCAAAATGCATTTCAGCTGCAGTTCAACCAATATAAACACTTAACATTAGCTCTGCAGCTCAGAAACTGAACTAATTTTACTTAATTTTACTGTAAAAGAATTAATGAACTTGCAGCAAAGAAAGGATGCCAAGTGTGTAGTTTAAGCAAATAGGCAAGTGTAAAAGACTGAGCTCCTGGGGACATTTAAATTTTGAATATTTGAAGTATCCATGTAATATTTCAAGGTCTACTACAAGTGTCTGTATTTTTCTGCTGAAGTTGTTTGCGTATTTTGAATAAACAATGGACAGTTTCGGTAATAGCACAACATTAATTAAAAAAAGAAATAAAAACATATTTTTCTCTGGCCCACAGATTTAATGAGATTTTATAATGTGTCCTTTTTACGTTTGACACCCCTGCTTTACACTATGCATCTCAAGTGCTGTTCTGTTTCATATATGTTTCAAGCAACTAAAGTTGCGTGAGAATTTCACTATGTAAACATCAATGCTGCCCTCTCTCAGCTCCTGTCAGTCTTTAACTCTGAGCCCTGTCCTTTCTCACTTGCCCACTGCAGAACCACTTATGGTAGCATCCAGTTTCCCCCCCGCCCGCTCTGGTTTAGCAGGCAGGCACAGCGCAGATAGAGCTCTGTCCAGATGACTCAGTCTTACCCACCTTTCCTCTGCTTCCTTCCTTCTCCACATCCCCCCCCAACCATTCCCGACATACTTTATTTCCTCCCTTTCTTTTCATTGGGCTTATTTTTCCTTGTTTGTGCTCCTCTCACTTATTTGCTTTTACCTGCATCCTTCTCCTGTATGCTTCTCCTCTATGTTTCCTCCCTCCTCTCCTATTTCATTAATTTGCTTTTACCCATTTTCCTATTTTTCTTTTTTTTTGTCCAACTTTTTCCATCCGCTCCTTTCTCCTTCCTCTCCACCCTTGCTTTATTTTTTTTGCGCTGTTCCCTCCTCTCGTCTCCTCTCCTATCCTCTTCTCTTCTCTTCTCTCCTTTCCTCTCCTCTCCTCTCCTCTCCTCTCCCCCTGCAGCTCCTGCGCCCGCTCAGAGATTTCCCTGGACGGTTTTTCCGAGTGTCCTCCTCCACCCATTCCCGTGGTGCTGACAGGGGCTCGAGAACGGCTGGCCGTGGAGCTGCGGGAGCGTAAGGCCCCCCTGGCGGTCATGGAGAGCCTTTCGGACGTCGAGTCGGTCTACAGCCTGGACTCCCGCCGTTCCTCGGCCGCTCTGAGGGGGTCGCCGTGCCTGGGGTCATTGCCCTTCCCCCTGGACGCTCCGATCCCAGAGGAGAACCCGTCTGTGAGCTCGCGCACTGAGCTGCTGGCCGCAGACGGGCTTCTCCACGCCTCTCCGGAGCATGAGCTCGGGGAATCCGGACCCTACTGCCCAACGCCGCCAGAACTGACCGTTCCTTCCCAACACCTCCTGCCAAAAAGCCCGCAACAAAGTGGCCACGGTCCTCCGCTTCTGCTTGGACAGACTGCCATAGGTCGGCCTGGCCAGCAGAGAGCAGTCTCACGGCCCTCTTCACAGACACTCGAGGTAAATCAGCGGTTAACCGTCCCTAACAGCCAGGAAACGAACCCCGGCGCACCCTGGACAGGACCTGCGGAAAAGGAGTCTGAAGAGAATGCAAAGGATGGAGGTAGGGCTGCACAATTAATGGTTTGTTTGTTATTATTGCAATGTTGGGCCTGAACAGTACGGCAGTAGGTGATGTGCCGTATGGCTGAACAATGAAAAATATCTAACTGCGATTTTTCTGACCAATTTTGTGATTACAATTTAAATGCATAGAAAATAATTTTCTATAAGTTATTTGCAGGCCTGAAGAGCAGAACATACGCTTTTTCTGGCATGAAGCTTGAATGTTGAGCGCATTAAACTACCAGTTAGTTGTGATGGTTGTGATGTCACATATACATGTGTTTTTTTTACTAATTTTGATTAGTGAACCCATCTACAGGCAGTTCACAAGCTCGCTGTTATTGGGGTAAATTTTCTCCATATAAAACACGTTAAGACAACAAAAATTGTGGAAAATGTATTCTAGTATAAAAAACGCAGCTCTTGCAATTTGAAAATGGCACTCTTTCTTATTGCAATTTCGATATAAAACCATCCAAAAATTCAGTCTTCAGCCCTAATATGCAGTATGCAAAACCGCAAACCACTCTCAAAATTTTTTTATTGTGTGCTGAGATCTCATCCAATCTCAGACCTTCCTAAGTGATTTCAGATAAATTAGTATTAAATTTCTAGGTTTCTAACACATAATTTTGGTCAAAATAATTAGCCGTATTCCCACAAACCGTTGAAGTCGATTCTAGTGTTCAAAATGTAGCTGGACAAGCTTAAAACGTGAACATATACACCACTTAGCTATGTTGCCCGATAAGGCTGAACAATTTAGGGAAAATATGTAATTGCGTTTTTGCTGACCAGTATTACAGTTCTAATTTGAATGAATTCAATGATTTAAAGGTGCAGTGTGTTAGATGCTTCCAGAGATGAGGTTGCTCCCTTTCCAAGCATGTAGTAGAACCTACGGTGGCCGTCAGGTTTTCTGCCATCGGCTGTCCAGATTTTGTTTTGCTTCTTCATGTTTTCTCTTCTTTGATGGCAAGGATTCACCCTCCCTTGCTTTTTCTTGTGCTAAATTTCAGTTCTTCCAGCTGGAGCTGCAGCGCCACCAAATTCAAGCTGCCACTTCAGCTAAAAAGCGTGAAAGGTGCCTCTAGAGCCAGTGTTTGATTTGTCCGTTCTGGGCTACTGTAGAAACATGGCGGCGCAACATTGCGGCCTCTGTTGGAAGAGGAGCCGCTCCCTATGTAGATATGAAGGGCTCATTCTAAGCTAACGAGAGCACAGCGATTCATAGGTACAGGTGATTATAAACTAATGAAAACATGGTTTTCTAAATTATATTCCATTTCTGCTTATAGATCCCCCTGAATCTTACACACTGCACCTTTAAACTCCAGAAGATCATTTTTTTCAGACTTGAGCGCTGATTGTAGTGTGGCAGACTACCAGTCCACATACTCCGAGTTATGAGGTTAAATTTCCCCTCTTAGAAGTTATAATTAAATTGCAGCTCTTGTGATTTGAATATCACACTCTTCCCAATTGCAATTTCAATTTAAAAAGAGATTAATTGTTTAGCCCTATTGGGCTAAGTTTTCATGCACTTCTCTCAGCTGTCCTATTACAGACATATGGAGCTCAAGTCCTTTCACAATCGAGAAATGTGAGCAGACCACTTAAGTAATGAACAAATAAAAATAATTACAAAACAATCTTTTTTAGTTTATTAAAGGCAACTGTGCAGTGGCCAAATAGATTAGCCATAAATATATTTTAAGGAATGAAATATATATTGCTGGCATAGGCTCCAGCACCCACCTGCGACCCAGAAGGATAAGCGTTTTAGGAAGTGTGTGTGTGTGTGTGTGTGTGTGTGTGTGTGTGTGTGTGTGTGTGAAATATAGACCGATCAGGCATACTATATTTGTTCATTTTTGTAGGTCAGCATTGAAAATAAAAACATACACATATATATTTCTGTTTGTAGCCAGACTGTAAACGATCAGAAAAAGCTGTTAAGCTGTTAATTCCTGTACAGATTCCTAAAATCTGTACTTGTGCCACATCCTGAGTCACACTAATATAATAATAATATAATGACCAACTTTGCGCATTGTCCAGTAGACCCAGGTGGAAATCAGTCTTTGACTGCTTAGCATTATATAGCAATATCATTGCAACTTGATATTTTGTCCATGTTGTGCAGATCTGAGGTCGCCCTCTGCTGGCCTGGAGGAGAAAAAACAAGAGGAGAATCGAGTAGAGGTCAAAGTGGACATGGAGAGTGGACTGTCCCTCACCACCCCACTGTCCAACGGTAACCCCAGCCAGGCTGTGCTGGAATTCGCCCAGTACCTGGACTCTCTCTTCAGGCTGGACGGCAGCGGTTCTCCTCCTCTGGAGCTTTCTGATGGAGAATCGGAGTCTGGCCGAGGCTCCTGCAGCCAGGCGGAGGGTCAGTGCGATGACCAGCACTCGAAAGACGCGGACAGGGACAGGCAGCTACTGGTCAGGGCTACTCTGGAGCCCAATCTCGTCCCCAAGCCCCCTCGCACCTTTGCCGGCTCTGCGGACCCTTCGTCCGGCATTTCTCTTTCTCCGTCCTTTCCTCTGTCCTCGTCCGGGGAGTTAAATGACCTTTCACCCCCTGACGGGTCACTACCAGTCAATCACTCCACTCTACGAACTTCCACTGCCTGTCCTTACGCTGAGGACAACACGTTGTCATCCATGGTGTAAGTGACCCACGAGCCTCTCTTGGCCCCGCCCCTTTCTCCTGTTTATCTCTGTTGGTTTCACTACTGTTCAAAAGTTTGGAATCACTGTTTTCAGTATCATAAGACCAGAATGACTGCAGGTGTAACTGTATAAATCTTTTGATTATGATTCTTTAGGAGACGATTCAATGTGTCATTAAGTCTCACATTTCAGTGTGATTCAGTTGTTTAGGAAATGACTCATCATCAAATCATGACGCATCATTAAATCTCAAATAACAGCATGGTTTGATTCTTTAGGAAGTAATTCAGTGGGTCATTAAATTTCCAATTTTAGCACAATTCAGTTCTTTAGGAAACGATTCAGTGCGTCATTAAATCTGAAATTTCAGTTAGATTTGATTCTTTAGGAAACGATTCAGTGCACAATGGCTCAGATTGCATTATCTTTTGGTACGATTCAAAATTATATTTAAAAATACACATATTGACTATTTAAACTGCAGTCGAATACAGACATTAAAAACAAGGCATCAAGCTTTTATGGATATTAATAAATAGCATACTTTATAATCTTGACATGACAGTAACATCTCCAATCAGTACAGTTGAATCATCACCTTCAGGTCGATGCATCACGATGCACTGATGCGTTTTTATTAAGAAAATTTTGATGTGTCCAGCGTTATGAATGGAGCTGTAAATATTTACATAATAATAGAGAAGACAGTATAGAATCAAGTATATAGTTGTAAGAGAAGTTCTCATAAAATTAACATTCAGACTGAAGTTCTACAGAAATTAATATCCAGAATTGCTCATATTTAAAAAAGTAGTGATGAAATGATAGTAATTTACGGTAATTAGCTGTGTACAGTGTATTATCATTTAAGAGAAAAAAAAAGTTTTGAGTAAAACACCTAAACATGCCCTCACTCACTGTATACACTGTTATCAAATAAAATATCAGTGATATTTACAGTGATTCTAAATTTTTGAACAGTAGTGAATACCACCCCCACCCCCCAAAAAACAGTGGGTGCACTTTTTATTGCTTTCTCGGACGAGTGCGTAGAAACCTGCATGCGTAGCAATGCGACCTGTCCAAGAAGTCCAGGCCCGGTGGAGGCCTGAGGAACCACAGAGAGCAGAAAAAACCTCATTTTGTTACTGTCAAGACATTTTCCACACTGAATGCAGTCTGCCTCATGCGTCACTGTTACAGACGTGGCCGCCTGCAACCACGAGGGCGCCGGGCTGCTCCTATAAAGACGTTAATAAACACTATCGCTGCCGTACGGATGAAGCTTTGCACAAAAAAACGACCAGAAATACACATCGAGTCTAATCTTATCTTATGTTTACATTCATATTAACGCCACCGAACAATAAAATGTGTAAAGTTGCCGGATTTGCAGGGAATTCCTCTCGGAAGGGACATGACAGGATGGCAAAAAGGGACTGCTTAAAGGGAAATTCCACCTATTTTTCAAAATTTCAAACGGATGTTAAAGTCATTCAGAGTAGTTTGGTGTGAAATGGTTGATTGTAGAGACCCAGACCAGGGGTCTCCATGACTACAACATAAACATAGCCATTTTATTTGCTATCCAAAACCACTAGCGAACCTACACGTCTTCTGATTTTTATATGGAATGTTGATGATGGTGAATAGTGGAAAATCTAAATCGTGAATACATTTTGGACCAAAACTTTAAACCGATGGACCTTTTAGAACACGTGTCAGGCACCACTCCTCGTGGGCAAAAACACTGCAGACTTCAGCACACTGCCTCATTAAACACAGCTGATTCAGCTCATCAGCTCATTAGCAAAGCCTTCATGAACTGAATTCAGAGCATTAGATGAGGGTAACACTAATGTCCGCAGCACTTTAGCCCAGAAGGTCCCCAGTTTGACATGCCTGTTTTAGAGGCATTAACCTCTTCAGATGTCTGGTTCCCATCACCACCACTGTAAACATCTGACTTGGTAAGTTTCTGTAGAACAGAGCATTTCACACCAAATCACTCTGAAAGACTCTGTTTACGTCGTAACAGTTTAATCATGCAGAAATTTGGAAAAATCGGTGGCATTCCCCTTTAAAGTAGAGAGGCTAATGTGTAAAGAGTTGGAGTTACAGATAAGGTGACACTTCCTCAGGTTTTTAAAGAACAGATGAAGAAAAGGTGGGTCTAAACTAAAAGGTAATATCAAAACCCAGACTTTTACAGATTTTGGAGTGAAGGAGATTTTGTGTGCAATGTTCTGCTGAGTATACGTAACAGGCAGCGCTCGAGATTGTGTCCTTTTGAAGTGCAGGGGCCATTTACGATTTATGATTTATGATTGTGTTATGGTGTGCATGAGAAAAATAATGAATGCTTAATTTTTTGACATTTATTTACCATCGTTGATCCTTATTCACACACAAATACACTTTTAATTTTTAATTTTCAAGCTTTTTTTTGCCAAAACTAAAACCCTGCCAAATATATGTAGAAATTGATATCTTATTTGATTTTTAAAATGAAATTTATGTAATAAATTGATATTTTTTTTTGTTCTTTATTTGCATTCTGACATACGTTTGGCCTATTATCACTCATGAATGCACCGTGTAACAGTGAAATGAACTGGACAGCATCAGGCATGCACCAAACACAAAATACCACTGTTTTTGAATGCCCTCTTTCTTTCAGCATTAGGCAAGACTGTCTTTATTAAAATGCTCAATTCATTACACGTGAGCATGGACTGGAGAATTCATATCACACTGAACAAGATCCAGTAGCAAACTGATTTTTTTAGGGAGTCTCATCTGCATTTTTATCATTTCTACTGTTGTTGTTATGACTATATTACAATAATAATCGGTGGTTTATCATTATGATGAATATTTTAGTAACTGTTACAGTTTGACTTGCCTTTTTCTATTATTTCTGAATGAAGTGTTTTTTTTTTGTTCTAATTTGAGGCATTTTAGCCTTTTTTTATTAGAAGGAGTACATCTTGTGTCTGTGTGAGGAAAAGTACAGCAGCGAATAATAATAATAATAATAATAATAATAATTAAAGTGTATTTATCATGCACCTTTCACACATTTAAATGAAGTTTAGACAGCTTTATTAAGACATTTAAATAAAAGCCATGAGAACAAAAAAAATTAAGTAAATAAAAACAAAGAAAGAAAATAAATTAATAGTAAACAAGTCAGCAAATAAAAAAGGGTCTTTAACAATAGGAAATATAACATTGAAAAAGTGAATGCCACTGTCATTGTCCTGCGGAGTAACACAAATAGCCCTGCCCACAATACAAATCAAACTCCAACAGCTTAAATCATTCTTATAAAATCAACAGAAGGTGTTTAAATGTTTACACTCATTGCCGTGTTGGTGCAGATTAGTGCTTTGCGGTGTTGAATACAATGAAAAGAGTTGAATTGGTTTGATTCAAATGTGCACATCTGCAGCCGTATGCAGAAGTTTGAACATCAAATTTCATATGTTGTGAACATAAGCACAATTTCTGTGCCGACAACATACTGGAAAAAAAAATGTCTCATCACTTTTGCACAAGCTACATTGTATGATTTGTTTTCCCAGTATGTTAAATTCAGTAAATAAACAGTAGTTGTGTATTAAAATGTGCAGGAGTGTGTCTCTGTAGAGAACGTGTTCACTTATTTACACTCAGAAAATCAATACAACATGGAATTTGACCGGGGGTGCCAAAACTTTTGCATACGACTATTTAATTAGATATATTACTTCGGCATAATTTCTGTCAGAAGTAAGTAAGACTGAAAGACAAAACTGTGTTGATGTATTTTATTCATGTAGAAATTATGTTCGCTTTTGAATCAAGTCAGTTCATCAATTTAATTAGTTTCCTGTTGTGCTCTACAGGTTATATGATACACTATTATATTATTCACTAATACATTACACACTAATACAGAATGATAAAGACATTAAATAAAAAATAATGACTATTATTATTATAATTATTATTATTAGTATTATTAATATTATTACTACCACCAAGACAGTGAAACACATTGTGATATATACCCCTAATTTTGCACAGGCCTTACTTTATAAAGCTCTGCTCCTGTATTTACAATTACAGATAGTGATGCACTGATTCCACTTTTTCTCTTCTGATATCAATACAGACGTCTGAATTCGAGATATGGGCCGATACTAAGTACCAGTTCGATAGCAAAACTCCTCTGAAAGACCCGTAACATTGAAAACTGAATTTACTTTCTTTCTTTTTTATTTTTAAATTAGAGACTTTGATGTAGTAAATAAACACTGATAAAATTTCAAAACTCTCCAGTCCATACAGTCCATATATGGAAATTAAACTGCCCTGTTCACACTGAAGTTATAAGGAGTGTTTCAGCCTGGACTGCTTTTAAAAATGAGGCACAGTACAGGGCAGCCAATCAGGACAGACCTCATTTATACATGTCAGTCTTAAAGGCACAGTAACACAGCCTGTTTCATTCTAAGGGATGTGTTTAGGTCTGAAAGTGTTCATTTTAAAATGAATTATGACTGGTTTGGTGTAAAGAAAACCCCACAAATGTCACAAATAAATTAAAAAATGTAGGATATGGGCCCTTCAAAGCATTTATAGTTTTTAGTAGTATATAAACATAAATATACAATAGAGTCTAATGTACAGTAATTATTTAATTAGCACTGCATTGCAATTACAGCTAAAGTAATGTATTGACTGTGGATCGTTCACTTCTGATTGATATCTGTATCATTTAATAAGGTCAGTATGTGGGATCAGTGCATCACTATATACAACCTGGTGAATCGTACAGTCACTCAGTAATATGAATTTTATAGTGGCGTGCTATTTCAGACCATTTATTCTGCAGATTGGGGTCAAAGGTCATGCTTGTATGTACAGTATGTCGTCTACAAAGGCAAATATAGGCCCTCTTTTTGGATCTGTTACATTTGAGTCACTTCTGTCTGGATTCCCTGCTGTACTTCTTCTCAGTGGTTGTGTATAGCACTGTCTTCTTCATGTGATTATTTTATGCAAGTATAAACCCATCTTATTTTCAGTCATTTTTTAATAAAAAAATAGAAAAGAATCCAGTGGGACATTATCAAGAAAAATGGCTGTATCATGTATCATAGTGATGACTTTATCTGAAATCTATAGCTATATTGATATATATTATAAATGGGAAAAAAAGTATTTATCTGTGGATATATGCTGATTTAAGAAAATCAATGATGTAGCCATTGGTCTTCAACAGAAACATATTTCTTTCTATTGTTGCCAGCTACCTTATCAGTCCTTACTTTTCATGAATGAGAATGTATTTAAGACCTGCCTGCACATACACACACACACACACACACACACAGACGCATACACACAAACACACTACCCTGCCTGTAAAAGAATAAAACAGTACAGATTTCAGACAAACAAACACTGTCCTGCTCTTTATTTACTGTTTGGAGTTTTTGTTGCATTTGATTGAACCAATTCAATGTATTATTTAAAGGGCCCATATTGTGGAAAACTGAATATCCCAAATTTTTATAGAAAAAATACTTTGATGTTGTGTTTGCTTATGTCAACCTATTCAGCCTACAGCAGTTTGGCCCCGCCCACCCATGCTGAAGTTATAAGGACAGTTTTAGTGAGGACTGCTTTCTAAATGAGACACAATGTAGGGCAGCCAATCAGAGCATGGCTCATTTGCAAATATCAGTCTTAAATGGATAGTAACAAAAACAGCCATTTTAATTCTAAGGGATAAAGAGAGGTTGGAAATTGTTGTGTAAAAATGAATTATGACTATGAGACACACCTCCATATAACTACTGCAGAAACAATATCAAAATGTTATTGTAGTGTACCTTAGCACTCAAACACTGAGCTACTACAGCCACATTTTAGTTTTTGTGCAAATAGTCAGAATAAGAAGTGGATTTAATTGTCAAAGTACTATTTAAAGGTGCAGTATGTAAGATTTAGGGGGCTCTATTAGCAGAAATGGAATATAACAAGCGTTGTGTTTTCGTGAGCTTAGAATGAGCCCTTCTGAGCCATATCTGCATATGAAGCGGCTCCTCTTCCAACAGAGGCCACCATGTTGTGCCACCGTGTTTCGACAGTAACTCAGGACAGACAAACCAAACACTGGCTCTAGAGGGCGTTTTTCACGTATGCACACTGAAGCATGATTATGGTGGCGCTGTCAGAGCCAGTTTATGAGGAGTCTGGCCTCTTCCTATTTCCCCTGTTCTATCAAAAACATGACTGAAAAATGTCAGAGGCCTTAAATGAATGGGGGTAAATATAGCTAAACGGCTAAAAACAAAAAGTTACAATAGTTTCTAATCGCTTGCCCAGAACATTCCTTTAATTTTAGAAAGTAGAAGGATGTATTTCACTAATAAAGCAAAGGAAACTCACCTGTATGTTTCCTTTTTTCTACAGCAAACAGGTTTTGGGCAGCAGAATGCTAACATTACTGCCACTGAGTGCTAATTGGTTGGCGAGCAGAGCAGATCATTAGCTGTTCATACTCATTGACGTCATGAACGTACATGAGGCGCCATTTTAAACTTCTATAACGAGTTCAAAAGCTCTTAAAAATATAACAGTGGTGTTAAAATGTTTTATGCTGTTCTGTGTTTAGGAAATTAATGCATTATTTTATATAAAAAAGTTTAAGTATTTATAAACCATGATTTAGCTCCATATTAACCCATTCATTTTGGACTAGCTTGGTACCTGTAGTGTTTGAAAAACTTGGAAGACATTACAGAGTGGTAATTCTCTCTACAAGTTCTCTGGCGCTGTAGCTCCAGTTGGAAGACAGAGAAATAAGAAGAATCAGTGGTTGCTGTGTAGTAGGCTCTACTACTCGGAAAGGGAGGGGTGAAGGAGGGATTCAGCTAGTTGCAATCTGCAACCTTGCCACTAGATGCCACTAAATCTCAAAGACTGCATCTTTGACTTTAAACAGAACAAAAATACTGTTTACTGCTGCTGCTGCCCCAATCGAAGCAGTCTGTGTGTCTTTGTTCAACATGCCAGCGTTGTTTGTCATATTCATGTTTTAAGAAGAATGCAGACCTTTTATGTGTAGTGTACATTTGATAGGCTTTGTTTATATTATTTATATAGAAACCATTGCTAACAGTAGCCATATTCCCAAACTGTTAGCTGGCTAACATGCTGCCTGAAAACAAACTGCTTTTCTGTAGTAGCTGCCTTCACCAATTCAGCCCTAACGACTAGCTCTATGCTGCGGCTAACGCTTACTACTATCGGCACATACAAACCAGATGATGAATGCGTTAGATAGCTCCTATAAGATGATATTTGACCTGCAGCCTATTTGGTCAGATTGTGAAGACGAGGGTGACCACAGGCCAACATCAAATTCTGAACCTGGTGTTGATTCTAAGCAAGCTTTTCGGTTGGCAGCTGAACAAGTAAACAAACTGGAATCAGGAAGAAACCAACAGAATACAGTTCAGCAAACAGTGTGAGATGTGAGACACTTTACAGACTGACTGAAACATAACCACATTCAGCTTCATCGGAAAATACTGAAAAAGCTGAGCTCAACCCGATATTCACTCAGTTTTATGGCTCTATCTGTAACACAGAAGGGGTCTACTTTTATGGTGAGAGGAATTGCTGATATTAAAAGGGAATTCTCCTGAGTTTTCTCATTTTATTTGCATAATTCTGTGTAAACATTTTGTCATAGACAGTTTAAATTTTAAAAAGCTAACAGAAGGTTGTTGTTTAACCCTATGTGGTCGAACACAAAAAAATGTTTAATCCATATATGCATAGTAGATTTTATTATGTATTTTTCAATTTCCTTTGCTATTCTTATTTCTTACTGTTGTACTTGGTGTTTTGCCCAAAAATGTTACTTTTTCATAAGTTGTAAATATCCACTCATATTTCAGCAAATCCACATTACTATTTTCATTATCACTTTAAACAAACACACAAGGCTGTTTTATTTTTATTTATTTATTTATTTACAGATTCAATCTGAAGAACCATTTCACCAAGAACTAATTAAGCATGAAATGGTTCCATGTAGAACTCATAGTTCTAAACAGAACCATTTTCTTTACTAAAGAACTCTTGAAGAACCTTCATCCATCCTGTGTATGGGTTCAAACACCAGCAACATACAACTGATATATACCAGCAAGCTAATAAACACCCATTTCACAACCTCAGTATTCTCTTTTTCTGTCACAAAAACCGCTCGAACGCGCACGATACACTTTGGTGCCAAAAAACAAAAATGCCACGTTAAAATTCTCTCGTAAGGGCAGGAAAGTGTAACTGCGATTCTGAAATGAACCACTAGAGGCGTACTTGTAAGGGGCTGATAGTGCGGGTCTGAAGGTGAGGTTCTGAAAGTGCGGTACTGCGGGTCTGCAGCTGGATACTACTGGTCCTCAACTCAAAAAGTGAACCTCGCCATCGCGCTTTAAAAAGTGGTGGGCCAAATGGGAGGCATGTGGGAACATGAACATTACAGCGAAAATAGGCGTTTTTTGTGTGCTATAGTCACATGGTTTACAGGGTGGAATTAGTGGAAACAGCCAGGATGTGTGGTTAATACTATTTTCACTTGGTGTAAATATACACTGACTTTTTATTGTATTTATTCTCCCATTGTAAATAAGCGTAGTGCGTGGGGCGCTGCTGCTCTCTGTTTGGCCTGTAGGTGTCGCTGTGTGACGCTGCAGCCTGGCCGGGGGAGCTTCGGGAGACTTTCCACGAAACACGGAGCGTTTTCTCTCTGAATACTCGCCTCGTCCCGCGTTTGTAATTCCGTTTTTTTGCCACAACGTAAACAAGTAATGGACTCGGACGAGGGTTATAATTATGAATTTGACGACGAGGAAGAGGAATGCAGTGAGGACAGCGGCGAGGAGGAAGCCGGGGACGACACGCTGGACCTGGGGGAGGTGGAGCTGGTGGAGCCGGTGGTGGCCGGAGGAGAGCGGGGCGAGTGCGGAGAGAACGGGGGCAGCAGCGGCGGAGGAGGCGGCGGCGGCCTGGGGGGCCTCGGGGCCGGCCAGGACGAGGAGGATTACCGGTTCGAGGTGTTGACCACCGAGCAGATTCTCCAGCACATGGTGGAGTGCATACGGGAGGTCAACGAGGTGATCCAGGCGAGTTTCCGCGGAGTTTTCGGCGAGTTTTGAACCGGGCTGAAGTGGATAGCAGCCCGGTGGTTTGACACAGGCCGATGCTGGAAGTCGGCTTCCTATTCGCCAACTTCTTGTTCGAATTTTCCCGTTCCACCTTAAGTTTGCGACAGTTACAGTCTGGCACCTCCAGCGCCGGAATGTAACTGCCGCACCATTTAAGGTGGAACGGGAAACTTCTGAACGAGAAGCTAAGCTGGCTTCAGCTTCGTACCAAAAACGGAACCTTTATTTTTATTGAAACACGTGATGCCCCTTAATGTCACAAGCGGCCTTAAATAAGTTCTCAAACACTGAAATATGAACCAAACTCCCAACATTTCGTCCCATTATCACTCAAACTATCTTATTTCATAGTTCATAGTGGCCCGGTTTAGCACACATGCTAACTAGCTGCGAAAAAGCTAACGGTTAGCTTAGCTTCCGACAGTTTTGGCAGTTAAGAAATATAGTTAACTGCTGTGTTTTATACCTCTTAAACATGCTATGGTCTGAGCAAAATAACTTTAGTGTTTTATTTGTAAATTTTAACCCGCGTTCAAAAGCGCTGTGTGAATGTTAGCCTAGCTGGCGAGCATGTTTGCTAAACGCGGGGTAAAATTGACGTTTTAAACACGAAAAAAGTAACTTAACTCAGGATTATACTGTGTTTGTGAGCTATGACACATATCACGGGTGTCTTTATGAACTGCCACATTGCCTGAACAGAGGTACTCAGTTAGCACGGTTAGCTTTCATTCCCATTTTACGTAGCCAAGTTAGCGTGTGTGCTAGCGCTGACCCAGTTAGCTGTGGGCTAAACCAGGCTGGAGTACTGTGTCTGAGAGTTGGCGTGATGAAAAGAGAAACATGAAGAGTATTTGATCATTTATTTTAGGTCATTGACAATATTGGGAATCCTTTTACTGTATGTCCAGCTGCATAAAAAAGTTTCTGAACTCTTGGAGTTATCTGGACGTCTGCATGAACGGCGAAAATATTAAATAATTTGCCTAATAATTTCATATCATAATGCTATTACTAGATCTAAAATAAACAAATGGTTGGAATAACTGAGGTCACTAATGGAAAAAGTTTGAAAATATTATATAAGCTGTGTAACATTTTACCTAGATATCGGCGCTGTCCGAAGAAAACAAATGTCTACAAAAAATAATTTTGAAGTGGAGAGCAAAAACATTATTAGCTTTTAACGTAAGTTAAAGAGATTTTATTCCAAGTCATTTTGGAGCATTTCTGTTGGTTCATTTATCATAAAATTTTTTGCACGATGTAAAGGACTCAGTTTTCAAATTATGTAGTAAATTAAAAATAATCAAAAGTGGAGATACGTTCTTTGGACAGCAACGATATGTAGTATTAACCAGTTACATACATTCTGTGCACTAGCTCAGTGTTGTAGACAACAATAACGTTTCTGTGTTTCAGAATACCATGTTAAATATGTTCATTTTTGAAAGTCTTGCAGATTTCATGTGCCTAATTCTGATGTCCAGCATACCAATGAAATTTCTAAAAAAACATGTTATCCCCAAATTCATAGAACCGCATTCTACTTTTAACAAAATAAAATAAAATCTTGAATCATTGTGTTTGATAATGCACAAAGTTATTATACTCATCAAAGTATAATTTGCTACACCAAGTCTAAATGTCCAGATTACTGGACATTCAAATTTATCTCAAAATTTGTGTGTGCAGAAATAAATATTTTCTATTTCCTTTTTTTACCTTTCATGAGAGGGACCTTCTAGAAGGACATACATACAAAAACATTTCTGAAATAAATACAGGATTGCTCAGAAACAGAGTCAGAGTTGGTCAAGGAGGCAGTGAGCGTCTGTCTCAACAGGTATCTCACTACATTACAAATGTAGACATTTTATTTACTATCCAAAACCACCAGTGAACCCACACGTGTCTTTTGTTTTTATATGGAAAGTTGATGATGGGAAAATAGTGGGTAAAATTGTTTTTGATTCTCCACGGTTCGGTTCAGACCTCTATTATTTTTGTACTTATTTTTTATTATTTTTATTTGAGAGAGTGGGTGGTGAAAAAGAAAAAAAACGGGGGTAAAATTAATAGATTTCATTAAATCACCCCTAACCTCTATGCCTTGCATTTGTTTTAAAAATACATTTTTGGCTGTAATCGTGTGGTAAATTGATCATAAAACAGCGTCTGTTCAGAGGTCCGGTGTTGATCTGCTGCTGCTTAAGCTGAAATTTTGGTGCATCCCTGTTTGAAAGCCTTAGTATAGTTAAATATTCCTATATTTGTAAGCATTAGTTTTAAATAAATTGCCACATACACTCACTGTTCAGTGGAGTAAAATAACTCCATTGCAAAGTATTCACTAAAGCTGTAACTATGCACTCAGTCTGCTGCGTTAGCAATTCGATATTTTGATATGTTAAGCAAAATTCACATGGTGAGAACTGATGACTGTAATCAGATTGTTGCATAGCTTACTAATGACTCTGGAGCTGGGAGGCAGGAGGAGTGCTGCTGATTGTAGGGTTGAACGATTTGGACGAAATATCTAATTGTGATTTTTCTGACCAGTATTGTGATTTAAATTTGATTATTTTCTATCAGTTGAGGTCCAGGCTGGCAGTTTAGTTCAAATGAAAATGACTTTTTGAAGCACAGCAATATGTTTTTTCGGCCAAAGCTTTCAACCCAAAGCATGGTTAGTGGGTTGAGTTCATATGGCACACTGGACAGTATGACAGTATTTATTGTTATCGTGATAAATTCAGTCACAGTATGTCACAGTATGCTTTTTTGAGTATATTGTGGATATAATCAGTACTTATCAGTATGGGATCACTTCCAAATTGGATGTTGACTTCTAAAAGAGTTTAATTGGATTTAGTGCAGTACAGTATGTGAAATCACTAAATTCATAGTTTTTGATAATGTGTGCATATATATTTAATGTGACTGTTTGGAAAAGACCAACAATCAGATGTCAGAAGAAGAAATATTGTGTACTGTGAAAACTTTTAGAATTTTTATGGTACTACAATTTTGCCATATTGCGCAGTTCTAATATGTGATTTCTTTTGAGACCACCCTTTGACTGTGACTGGTCTACTGCACAAAGTGGGCTTCTAGTGGTGCCGAGACTGTCCTTTTAAGTATATTTACAACAGCTTGTTTAGCGATAGTTTACTTACTTAGTTTACTTAGTTCTGATGTTGTTTAAAGTACACTGCCAGCTTAATTCATCTACAGGCGGTTCACAAGCTCTGCTTTATTAGGTTAAAGTGACCGACTTAAAATTTGTTAAGACAACATTGTTGATAATGTACGGTATAATTAAAAAAAAAACTGCAGCTCCTGCTGTTTGAAAATTTCACACATTAAAAAAAAAAAAAGACTCATCTTTCAGACGTAGCTGATCGTTTGTGAACTTTCAGACAGTCCAGTCACATTGTATGGAATAATTAACAGAATGTTCTTTCTCCACAGAGGCCATTGTCTCAGTTTTTGTATTGCGATATCATGAGGCCATGATGCATTGTCGCACCCCTATCTAACAGAACAGGGTACAGAACTTAGTTTGTAAGACATTATGTTGTATCTCCTCTGTGCTGGTAGAGGCGTGTGTATAGAAGGGGCTTTACAACACCACTTGTATGGTTCTGACTTCATATCTTAATATCTCTCTGTTCAGTAGTTTGATAATTCTCCGTCAACAGAGAAAGTACAGAGGACGTCCCCAGGAATGGATTTGTTTACTCTAGAGGAGTTACTTAGGAGTAATAGGAAGCGAGTGTAAACAAACTGGCAGATGTAAGGATTATGCTGCTTTGGTTGAGATTTGTGTTGTTTAGGCTTTATGCTCTTTTTAAGTTTTTACTTACTTTGGCCCACACATTGTGTTATGTATATTACAATGTACTTCAATACTGGGCCTGCACTGATACAGTATTGGTATTGGCGCTAATACTTAAGCTTAAACACAGTACCGTTATCGGTGTGGGTTGATAATAAGGCTGCAACTAATGATTAATTTGATAGTCGACTAATCTAAGCTTCATCAGACAGCTTTAGAATTTTATAAAGTGTCACGAAGTTGCAATTAAAAAAAGTCTGCAGGGAGATCGCGAGTTCGATCCCTGGTGATGCTACAGCCATCCGTAGCCGGGAGTCCGAGAGAGCACAATTGGCCTCGCTCTCTCTGGGTGGGTAGGATGGCCCCTCCTTCTCCCCCCATCACTCAGCGCGATGCTAGTCAGCGCAGGTGTCTGTTAGCTGACGTAACAGATCTGGCGGTTGGCGCTTTCCTCCGAGCGTGTTCGGCTGTCCAGTGACGTTGCGTGAGCGGCAGTTCGAAAAGAAGCGGTGGTTGGCTTTACAGGTCTCGGAGGAAGCCTGTGTTAGCCTTCACCCTCCTAGCGTTGATAGCATCGTGTGACTGGGGGAGTCCTAACTAGCGGGTGGAATTGGAGACGACTAAATCGGGGAGAAAATCGAGTAAAAATTAAAAAAGTAAATAAATAAAAAAAGTCTGCAGAGGGCTTTTAAATTGAAATGCCGAACTTTGTGCGAACAGTCAGAGCCGAATTGAGCCGACAAAATTGTGCTGAAAAAAATGGTAGTCAGTCAGGGCTATTCAGACAGTTTTAGCAAACTGTAGTTAGTGGACTAACTTGGCACACAGTGAGGAGGCTGGGGTGACCTGATGTTGCAGTGTTGCAAAAAAAATAAATAACATTTTGTGGACTTTTGTGGACAGTGGTGGTCTGAAGTATTAATAAAGTGGGTCATAGAGAACTGTTCACCTGTTTTATTCTGTGCAAACCTGGCTGCTTGCTCATTGTAATGTGGTAATGCTAGCCAGCTAGCCAATGAGGGCCAGTTACTGTTCAGGACGGTATATCTTTGTTTGTTTACAACTTTACAGTGAAATATGCTGAATGAAACAGGCAAGACTGACGTCCTGAGCTTGATCTTCAGTGGCTGGCCAGCAAAGAAAAGAAGCTAACTTGGGTTGGTCTTGCCCCGGTCCTGGGGGTGGGGTAAGGGGTTGGTTGTGACCTGCCACTGCTGCTGAAAAAAACATCCTAGAGCGTGACACTCAGAGAGGTAAAGTTAGCATATATAAAGCTAAATAGAGTTTAATACTTGTAAAAGCTCCCTTACAGATTATTGTAGTTATTATATGGAATACAGTAATGCGTGACGTTAGACATTGTTTCATGATTGATTTACTGTACAATTTCTGCCTAAAATGCATTTCTGAAACAAATGCAAGGCAGAGAGGTTCAGGCAGGCTGTTGTGAGCCAAAAACTAGGCAGCTTCTTAAAAACTTGGCAGTTAAACAGAAAAAAAAGAATCCCCAATTTCTCAGGTGGTTTAACTGTTTAGTCCTCTCTAGTTCTTTGTCAGTTCCCCAACATGGCAGTTATCACATTTTACTTATCGTCATCGGGTTACTTGTCAGTCATCGACACTATCAGAATTGCATCACCTTATCGCCCAGGTCTAATTGGCACTGCAGTTTAGTGCAAGACTAGGCATGATCCATGTCCAGGATACTGGCTCATAGTCTAATATAGTACATCTGAGCAACGTAATGTGTTTTTCTGACTAAGCACTTTATGATATGTAACTTTCTCTGATTACTCTCTAACACAGTATCAGAATAGGCCGTCTGGGCCAATCAGAGACGAGGAGTGCTGTTTGTTCCGCACCCTCCTTTTTGTTTTAACACTCAATACGACAATGAGTATCATCTTGGTTTGTCATAAACATTTGATTAAGAAGCCAGAGGATTAGATCAGCCTTGCATTACTCTCTCTGTGTTGTCTTTGTTTTAGAACCCAGCGACCATAACCAGAATACTCCTCAGTCACTTCAACTGGGACAAAGAGAAGCTTATGGAGAGGCAAGTCTTGTTTTTCTTTTTCTCTACTTTTCCACTGTTTGATTAGAATTTCACCAGAAAGATTTGCATCGTCTAATTGAGGCCAGTACACTCTTAAAAAGGTTCTTTAGTAAAGTCTATATAGAACCATACACTTAAAGAGCGCTTTGCATGATTAAATGTTTTTTTTGCATGGTAAAATGGTTCTTCAGATTGGTGAAGAATGTGTTGTGTATAGTTCTGCTGTTATGTGTCATGCATGAAACAATTTTCAAAAAGGCTCTAAAATATAAAGCACATTCTCCATCAATCTGAAGAACCATTTTACGATGCAAAGAACACTTTAATCATGCAAAGGGTTCTTTGAGTGTTCACCCCATAGAACCGTCTTTTTTAATTGTGTAGCTTATATTTTAGCATCCTTCTGACATTCCATTGGTTTAGAAAAGATATTTTTAAGCTGCTGTTCTGTTTTCGTCTCTTCAGGTACTTCGATGGAAATCTTGATAAGTTGTTCTCAGAGTGCCATGTTATTAACCCCAGCAAGAAGGCAAGGACGCGACCCATGAGTACACGTTCCTCCAATCAGGACATGCACTGCCAGATCTGCTACCTGAACTACCCACACTCGGTCAGTAACTCTCAGACTGCATGGCTGTTGCTGCAGCTTTAAGGGGACACTTGTGGGGGGGGCTGATCATGTAGAAATGAATTATGACTGGTTTTGGTAAATAAAAGCTCACAAATGTCATTGTAAGTCTACCTCAGATAAAAAAAATGGCCCTTTAAACTTCAGATGCATTTTCTCAGTTGTACTGCATATCTCCTAAATCTATATGTACAGTACTGAGTAAGGTTCACTTTCCAGCCAAAATGGAGTGGGTGATGCGCCATATAAGCTCTCACTGCCTGCTCTGACTCAGTGCTTCTCTCCTGCAGTACTTCACAGGGCTGGAGTGTGGGCACAAGTTCTGCATGCAGTGCTGGGGGGACTACCTGACTACCAAAATCATTGAGGAGGGAATGGGTCAAGTAAGTCTCAGCAGTGGTGTTTACTAAAATATTAAAATGTTTAAAACGTAAATTCTGTCATGGTAGCAGGGGCGTAGCCAGAAGCATTTCAACAGGGTGACCAGGTTAGGCCCAGTGGTTTTATTGGAATGGCAAGCTACTAGGGGGAAAAAAGTGTGAGGTAACACTATGAGAAAAGATTTGGCTGGGTAACAAGCTAACTTACAGTAGCATTAGCAGGAACTTGTACTCAGCGCTGTGTTCAACTCAGATGAAATCTAGGCTGCGTCGTCAAACACACGCATGTACTCTGCTATGAAAAGTATGTAGCTTACATGATAAATGATAGTAAAAGGTGGTTACTAGTTTTAAATTAATTATTTTATTTTTTGTTAACTCATCTTACCTTTGTTTGGCCTGCACACTTAAAGATGGTTCTTCAAGAGTTCTTTATTAAGAGAAGAGTTCTGTATAGAACCATGAACACTCAAAGAACCCTTTGCATGATCAAAGTGTTATTTGCACAGTGAAAGTTTCTTTAGATTGATGGAGAGTGAGCTTTAGATTGTTCTGTATGTAGCACCTTTTTGAAAAGGGTGCTATATAGCACCAAATAGGGTTCTTCCATTTTTACAAGCTTGAAATCATAGCAATAAAAGAACACTTTTTAGGGTGTTTTATAGAACTATACATAGCACATTCTCCATCAATCTAAAGAACCCTTTCACAGTGCACAGAATCCTTTAATCATATGAAGAGTTCTTTTCAGTGTCCATGGCTCTATATAGATCCGTTTTCCTTACTAAAGAACCCTTGAAGAACCATCTGTTTAAGAGTGTACTACATTATGTAAAGTAATCTGTAGTCGTTTTTGGCAGTGCTGCTCTGTGTGCTGGGCAGATTGTTAATGCGGTCATAAGTCTAAAAAGATGAACACAATAATAGCATTATTAATGAGTTTAACTCTTTTCACATTGGGTAAAACCGATCACATATAGTGGCAGAATTTTTCTCTGGTGATTGCTTGAGTGAAGATAGCTGACTGTCTCACTTTGCTGAGCTACGGTGGCCACGCTTCGTAGGAGGGTGGCACAGCCCACCACAAGCCACCCCTTGGCTACTCCCTGCATAGTCATTAATCTATTCTGTGATAATAGATTAGGTCAGTATCAGCCGACACTAAACGTTAAATTGCTTATATCAGATCAGACATCCCTAAACTAATAAAACTACAAAATTTATCATCATCATCATCGTAAACCGCTTAGTCCAGCTAGGGTCACGGTAGCTGCAAACTGCTCCAGTGCGCGCTGGAGGCATCCATGTGATCCAGCCAATAGAACAACATCGTCTGCAAATAGCAGAGACGCCACCCTCCAGCCTCCACACATAATGCCCTCCTGACCACGGCTACGCCTTGACACCTGTCCATGAATATCATGAACAGGAGTGGAGACAGGGCACAACCCTGGCGGAGTCCAACGCTAACACTGAAAAAGTCCAACTTAATGCCAAGTATATGAACACAGCTCTCACTCCGGGAGTACAGAGATTGAATGGCCCGGAGTAGCAGCCCTGGCACCCCATACTCCCGGAGGACCTCCCCCAAGATATTTCGGGGAACACGGTCGTAAGCCTTCTGCAAATCCACAAAACACATGTAGACTGGGTTGGCAAATTCCCATGCCCCCTCAACAATCCGTGAGAGAGTGAAAAGCTGGTCCATTGTTCCATGTCCGGGACGGAATCCGCATTGTTCCTCCTCAATCCGAGGTTCAACTCCGGTCCCCTTTCTTAAAAATAGGGACCACCACCCCGGTCTGCCAGTCCAAGGGTACTGTTCCCGAGGTCCATGCAATATTGCGGAGGCGTGCCAGCCATGACAGCCCCACAATATCCAGAGCCTTAAGCATCTCCGGACGAATCTCATCCACCCCCGGTGCCTTGCCACTGAAGAGCTTGCCAACTACCTCAGTGACCTCCACCAGGGAAATGGAGCTTGACACACCAGAAGCCTCTGGCCCTGACTCCCATGAAGGAAGCATGTCTCCCGGATTAAGGAGTTCCTCAAAGTGGAACTTGGGCGCAGCCACCCCGACTGCTCCTGAGTCGCCGGACAGTCGTCCAGAACCTCCTTGAGGCCGACCGAAAGTCTTTTTCCATGGCTTCTCCAAACGCCTCCCACGCCCTGGATTTCGCTTCTGCCACTGTTGCAGCTGCCACCTTTTTTGCCTGTCGGTGCCTATCTGCTGAGTTGGGAGTCCTTTGGGCCATCCAGTCCCTAAAGGCCTCTTTCTTCAGCTTGACGGCCTCCCTCACCCCTGGTGTCCACCAGGGGGTTCTTGGGTTACCGCCCTGACAGGCACCAACAAGCTTTTGGCCACAGCTACGCCCAGCAGCTTCCACAATGGAGGTTTTGAACAGGGTCCATTCAGACTGCATGTCCCCTATCTCCTCCGGGACATGAGAAAATCTTTCCGAACAGGGGCCTCCGACAGTCGTTCCCAGCACATCCTCACTATTCGCTTGGGTCTACCGGTTCTGACCATCGGTCTTCCCTGCCATCTGATCCAACTCACCACCAGATGGTGATCAGTTGACAGCTCAGCTCCTCTCTTCACCCGAGTGTCCAGAGCATATGGTCTCAAGTCAGATGAAACGACAACAAAGTCGATCATTGACCTATGACCCAAGGAGCTCTGGTACCATGTACACTTATGAACATCCTTGTGTTCGAACTTGGTGTTCGTTATGGACAATCCATGCCTGGCACTGAAGTCCAATAACAATTCACCATTCGGGTTTAGATCGGGCATCCGTTCTTCCCAATCACGCCTCTCCAGGTCTCCCAGTCATTGCCAACATGAGCATTGAAGTCTCCCAGTAAGACTATGGAGTCTCTAGACGGGACCCTTTCCAGAACCAGACCCACTTACTCCAAGAAGGCCGAATACTCCGACCTGCTGTTTGGTGCATAAACACACACAACAGTCAGAGTTTTCCTCTCTGCGATTTTAATTTGCATTGAGGCGACACTCTCGTCCACCGGGACAAACTCCAGCTGCACGGCTGCCAGCCGGGGACTCGTGAGTATCCCCACACCCGCCCGGCGCCTCTCACCCTGTGCAACCCCGGAGTAGGAGAGGGACCAACCCCTATCAAGGAGTTTGGTTCCAGAGCCGACACTGTGGGTGGAGGTGAGCCCAACTATATCTAGTTGGTACCTCTCAACCTCCTGCACAAGCTCCGGCTCCTTCCCCCCCAGTGAGGTTACATTCCACGTACCAAGAGCCAGTTTCTGCCGCAGGGACCTAGGCCACCAGGGCCCCCCCCGCAATCTCCCACTGCCTATACAGCACTGCACTGCTCCCCCATGCTGGACCTTGCGGGTGGTGGGCCCACATGGTCTCCCCATGTTGCCTCTTCGGGCTGAGCCCGGCCGGGTTACGTGGGCTGCCCAGCCACCAGGTGCTCGCCGGGGGACGCTACCCCCAGGCCTGGCTCCAGGGGTAGGTCCTGGTGACCCTCTCCCGGGCAGGGTACACGATTGTCCGTGTCCATCTCTCATAGAGGATTTTTTTGGATCGAGTTAGTCTGGGTCTTCACTCCAGACCTGTTCGCCCTGGGAGACCCTACCAGGAGCATACTGCTCCCGACCACTTAGCTCTGAAGATCCCTAGACCACACAAGCCCTTCCGCCTTGACAAGGCCCCGATTCAGGAAGGGACAAAATTTGCCAATACTCCCATATTGCTTGTTATTTTGTTAAATGTAACATTGTTTTTTTTTTCCCCAGACCATCTCTTGTCCTGCTTACAGCTGTGATATTTTGGTAGATGACAACACTGTAATGTAAGTAATTGTTAGTACGATGTTTTGTATATGAATTTAATTTGCTTAAAGCTGTGCTATGTATGATTTGGAGACCTCTCTGGTGGAAATGTGTATTTACACACAAAGTATGTAAGAGTATTCAAAGAGAACTTAGTCAAAACTTGGTGAAGGATGCGTCTTTGAAAGATATGAGTGAATTATCTACAGTTGTCATCAAATCTTCATCAGTATTATGCTGATTTTGCATGAGAGGCCTAGCTGGACCCTCTTTTTGTGCCTGTTCATGTGACGTTAACCCCTGCTGGGTTTACTATGCTACATGTGTATTTAAGCTTGCAGTGGATCCATTTCTTACCGGAGTATGTTGTGCACATCTGTGGAATCTGCAGAAAATATAACACACTTATAAAGTAATAAATGAAAACACAAACTAAATATTTATTTAATAAGAATACATTAAAGAGTGAAATCTCTTGAAAAACAACTTGTATAAGTGCAAACTGGTCTTACGAAGCGCTGGGAGAAAAACCAAATGTTAAACATTTTTTCCAAGTAATCATATAAATGTATTGGCATGGTCTTCACAGGTGTTTATTGGGTCTATAGGGAGCACTAGAATCTTCACTGATCCCTTGGCAGTCTGCTGCAAGATTAGGCGGTTAGAAAACGAGGATATACTGCTTTTTTTCGTTCTCACTGATGAAATGAAACGGAAGATTTGTTTAGCTCTGGGCAGGTAAGTGCTGAGCAAACCAAATGAAAACCAATGAAAATGTCTGATTTTAATGCGCTTGTGTAGCCTAGTTTTGTTTAGACTATTGAAAGTTAGCCTCAAGTTGTGGAGAAATCATTCAGCACTCGACTTTTCTGTTGATATCCCCAGAATCTAATGCAATTTATTAAATCTCTCTATGATAAGAGATCGACTTTGGCAGTCCTGTTAATAAAATGTGTGCAGCAGAGTCGCCGCCATCCCTGTGGGATTCTAAGGGTCAACACATAAATGTAGTGTAAAAAAAGACCTGACCTGACACCGCTCACTTTTAAATGATTATTCTTTACAGGGCAACTCGCAGCAGCGCACACTCACCATTTTTTAGCCTTTTTTCTTTCCTCCTCACTCTGTAATGATACTTCTTTCATTTGTAACTAAAAAAAATCCTACATAATTCAGCTTTAACAGATTGCGCAGGACAGTGACTACATTGTTCGTTCCCTACAGGCGGCTGATCACGGATTCAAAAGTGAAGCTGAAGTACCAACATTTAATCACGAATAGTTTTGTAGAGGTAAGAACGTTCACCATATTTTCTGTCTTTAGCCTCCGGTAACTCTGTCTCTGTCCATTTATTTGGTCATTAAGACAGTTAAGCAACTTTTCAGGCCAATGATTCAGTCTTAGTAACTCATTTTTGTGTTTCCACTGCATCAAACTGCACAAAATGCAGGTCCTTCCTGAGCTGAATAAGAGCAGATGGAAAAACACAAAAATATGTGTTAATTTTTCTCTTGGATTATGATTGAGGATGATTGTTTTAGGCTGTGTAGGAATGTTTCCCAGTGTCTTAGACGGATCATTTTCTCTCCTGCAGTGTAATAGACTGTTGAAATGGTGTCCGGCTCCTGACTGCCATCACGTGATTAAGGTCCAGTATCCAGATGCCAAACCAGTGCGCTGTAAATGCGGCAGACAGTTCTGGTAAGACTTGCACCTCAGTAGCAGTGACAAAACTCTGGTGTCTTAATCTGGGCTATTGCTTTAAAGGGCCCATATCTTACATTTTTCTTATATTTTATTTCCTCCTGAGATCCACTTGGGACATTTATGTGGTTTTGTAATTCATTTTACAAGACCAGTTTCCAAGTTTGCTTTATCCATATATGCATATATGCACACACATTGCTGGTTTTGAATATAGACTGCTTTTGTGGGCTTTGTACACTGATTAAGTGTTGCTCTGTCTATTTAGCTTCAACTGTGGAGAAAATTGGCACGACCCAGTGAAGTGCAAGGTATGTTAGTCTTTGTCTTTAAATGACACTATAAATAATAGTGTTTTAAACTAAAAGAATGTGCTTGTATTTACTGCAGATATTTCTTTGCTTTTTCTAGTGGTTGAGGAAATGGATTAAGAAGTGTGACGATGACAGTGAAACATCTAACTGGATTGCAGCAAATACCAAGGCAAAACAACATCTGCATAATTTTTTTTTAATGATTTTAAAATATTTATTTGTATTCCAGTATTAGTTTACAGGTCACCTCTCTGTGTCTTTACTCGTTTGTGTACTGAAATTTAAGAGAATAAATCCATAGGCAGCTGTGTTTTGACATCTGTCTGTCTGGTGTCCCTTGTGTCCTCAGGAGTGTCCCAAATGTCATGTGACTATTGAAAAGGACGGCGGCTGTAACCACATGGTGTGCCGTAATCAGAACTGTAAGGCGGAGTTCTGTTGGGTTTGTCTCGGCCCGTGGGAGCCGCATGGCTCAGCCTGGTAAGTGCTGTCCACACGTATGGATATCACTGCTGCAGTTACGTTACTGTGTGTGGATGTTTTTCTTGGGATCCATATATACAAAAACACTGTCTATTTCTTAAACTGCAGGCTTATTGTTCAGGTGTTAGTCTTGTGGCTTATTATTCAGTTATTACTGTGAGTTTTACCACAATTTTATTGTTGCAAGTATGAAATCAAGTGCAATTATTTATGACAATTAATAGTCAGCTTAAATTTTATGATCGTTACAGCCTTAGTTGGAAGTAGTGTATGCTGCATCCAGTCAGAGTAAAGTGGGCAGGGAGGGGCGGGGCTTATGCAGTAGACACACCCACCCACTCTCAACTGATGGGGCTTTTTTTCTAAGGAGCTTATACATTTTTAGGGTCTGACTTTTGGGGCTTATTTTGTGGGCGAAAATAGATTTGAATCTGAACCAAAATCATATAAAATCTGAAAATATGTGGGTTGCTGCATCCATAAAAGCTATTTTCTAAGAGTGAAGAACAGACGTCTGGAAGTTAGTGAGTTATCTGGGGGTGATGTAGCACTCCAGTGTCCAACTCCAACAACCAATGTTGTGTTTTTCAGGTACAACTGCAATCGCTACAATGAAGATGATGCAAAAGCAGCCAGAGATGCCCAGGAGGTATTTAAAAGAAAAAAAGCCTAGCCATATTATTTCAGATGCATGTCTTTTTCACTTAAGGTGTTAAGCAAAATATTATTTCAGAATGATCTCTTGTAATGTAGAATGGCTGAAATAAGAACCTTGTAGGCCATTTTAAGAAGTTTAGCTTTATTGTTTTGTACCATGTATAAGCTGCCTTTTACTCTGTGTGAACACCTAAAAATCTACTTTGAACGTTGCGTGAACATTTCATGGTAAGAGGCCTAATAGAAATTGTTACTTTTAGGTTATTTAATATTCCGTCAACAGACACTAAGATAATTTCCCCGTTCTCCTATAAAAATACACTCTTCAAGGTTCTTCAAGGGTTCTTTAATAAAGAAAAGTTTCTATATCGGACCATTGATTGAAAATGTGCATGAATGTGCTATACATGGTTCTGTATAGTACCTTTTTGAAAGGCGTTCTATAAAGCACCCAGAAGGGTTCTTCTATTGTTATAAGCTTGATATCATAACAATAGAAGAACCCTTTTGGTTGCTGTATATAACCATTTTCAACAGCACATTTTCCTTCAATCTTAAGAACCATTTCATGATGCAAAGAACCCTTGAATCATCAAGGTTTTTTGAGTGTTCTTCACATCTCTTTAAAAAGTGTACCATTGTGGAGATGCAGTGTTTAACTACATATTGTGTACTACAGCCAGGTGATTTCATGTGTCCTCCATCTGGATTGTAACTTGATAAGATTTTATCCACGTGCATTTGTACTTGGTATTCAAACGTATCAATGTCTTAATGAGATTGGCAAATCAGCTCATATACTACAACCGGTTGCCAGCAGTGTTCCTTGTTTTTCCTGTTCTGTTCAAGAAGATGGAGGCTGCTTAGAAAATATTTCATAGGGTTCATTTTCTTACACCTGCTTTACACCAATGTATACAAGAATATGACTGTTTAGAGTAATTAGCCTCCTAACATCAGAGACGTTATAAACAAGAGATATGTCTACATTCGTAACACTGCTGTTGCTGTTACATAGATTGTAATCCCAGGTTCCTGTGTATGTTTGGTGCAGCGGTCCCGCGCAGCACTCCAGCGCTATCTCTTCTACTGCAACCGCTACATGAACCACATGCAGAGCCTGCGCTTTGAGCACAAGCTGTATGCACAGGTCAAGCAGAAGATGGAGGAGATGCAGCAGCACAACATGTCGTGGATCGAAGTGCAGTTCCTGAAGAAGGCCGTGGACGTGCTGTGTCAGTGCCGCTCCACGCTCATGTTCACCTACGTCTTTGCCTTCTACCTCAAGAAGAACAACCAGTCCATCATCTTCGAGGTTCGTGTCTGCGCTGAGATTCTGTTAGAAGACCGGACTGGGGAGACACTGCTTTAGATGATTTGTGGAGCATTTGTGTGTGGAATCATGAAGGTTTTGTAAATAAGTGCCATCCTGTGTCCTTCAGAACAATCAGGCTGACCTGGAGAATGCCACGGAGGTGCTGTCAGGATATCTGGAGCGAGACATCTCCCAGGATTCATTGCAAGACATCAAACAGAAAGTCCAGGACAAGTATAGGTGAGGAATGAGCAGAACCACGTGCACTTATGTTCGTATGTTTATGGTTAACGGTTGAGCCTGTCGTGGTCTGTTAAAATTTGCGGAGTCGGTGTCAATTCATTAATAATGAAAACTCGTTAATAAATAATAACACGATAAATTATTCACAGCACTCAATTTTTTTTAACGCCGTAAGTACGTTTTCGTACTTTGATGCTGAAGCCCAGCTGCTATACGCTGCTATGATTCAGTGACAGTCGCCCTCAGTTTAAGGTCAAATTTGAGCACATAAACATGATTAATTATGATTAACTACACAAAATAATGCTGTTATGACAGCCCTAATACTAGGGGTGGGGGTAAAATCGATTCTTGGATGCATCGTGATGCGGACGTGGACGCTTCTGAATCGATTCACAAGTGTCAAAAGTCAATTTTCTAAATTTTAATCGATAACGTAATGTTGACAGAATGCAAAAGGACAGTCTGTGGGGTGCACACTACATTAAAAGCTAGTGCAGGAGTCGCAACCCAAATGTTAATAAGAGTCATTTTGTATTTTCAACAAAAATCAAACCACCTTGAGAGCCACAACATTTTGGGTCCAATTGACCATCTTGGCTGTACATGAGTCTTAGTACGTGCTAATGTACTAGTACAGGCTAAAAATATAATACAAACAAAAATGCAGACATACTTTGCTCTGCTTTAAGCTGTAGCTCAGCTGAAGCCGCTTTTCTTGCATCACCAGCTGGAAGCTTTTCCACAAAAGTAGAACCGTTTCTTGTAAAATGTCTCTCTTTTACGAGGCTGAAGTCGCTTCTCTTTCACCAGCTTCTCGTTCGAATTTTCCCGTTCCACCTTAAGTGCTGCCTGAGGCGCCAGAATGTAACTGCTGCACCATTTAAGGTGGAACAGGACAATTTCGAATGAGAAGCTGTACAACGAGAAACCGACTTAAGTTTCACGTTTTTTTTTCTTTCTTTTTTTTTAGTGTTTGATAGTTTCTCATTGCAGATTAAATGTGTCAGGAAACCAGCTGAGTGCTTATCAATGCAAATAAGTCTATTAGTCTCCAAATTATGGATGTTCATCTTAAATCTTTCTCTTTGCCTTTTCGTTAGCTACTAGCTAGGTGAACTAGCAGTTATAGGCTACATTAATTCCAGCGTTATTCATTTATTGTTGAAACTGTGTTTGAACGATCAGCAGAGCTTTATTTTACTGCAAAGGAGGATTATTTTATTTTTACCCAGAAATCTAACTCGCTAACTAACTGGAGCCACACCAGGCCAGTAAAAGAGCTGCAGGTCGCTGACCCCTGAGCTAGCGTTAGCGTATGGCAGCACTATGGCTTCTGTGGAGCATATTACGTTTCCACCCGTTTTCCGCCTGGTTGTAGTTGCTGCCAACCAGAGGACCATCAATCAAGCGATGTCAAAGCTTCCACCCAACTCGAAAAGGACGAAGCGAACTACAAACTCTATCACAACTTTTATTGCCAAGGATTTACATCCGTACTCAGTCCTTGAGAATCAGGGCTTTCGCGCTATGTTGCACACTTTGGAGCCGAGATACAGCGTCCCATCTCGAAGATATTTTACTGACACAGCGACCTCCCAACTCTCTACAACGAAACCATATCCGAAGCTATTAAATCACTGAAGAAAATGTGTAGAATAACTGTAATCTGCTGCGTGGACACCCACTGCCACAGAATCTTATTTCACCGTAACTGTGCATTTTATCGCAAATGAGTGGCAGCGTATCGTTTGCTCCAAACGAGCAGTGAATGAGAGCCTTCCTGTTCACTTGCCACATTGCTTCCATTTGATTTATTAATAAAAGATATTGGAAGTAAATTCATTATGGATAATTACAGATACTTTGCTTTAGATGCTTTAAAAGTTCCAAGTTGTCACACAGTGAGAAAAAAGAAATCCTGTATAGAAAAAAAAGATGCATCGATAATCGATTTATAATGACATCGCAGCCTCTGAAACGTGATCGAATCGTGAGGTGCCTAGAGATTCCCACCCCTACATAATACACATGTAAATTTAACAGTTATTTATTGAGCATCATGAGTCACACATTTAGGGGTCCTGGAATAACATGCAAGGCAGTCGCAGTACGTTACAACGTTGTTTTTCGTCTGGGCAGCCCAGCCATTTGCTAATCTGGCAGATTGTTTTCTGTTTCTCTCTGCAGATACTGTGAGAGTCGACGGCGAGTGCTGCTGCAACATGTGCACGAGGGCTATGAGAAGGACTTATGGGAGTACATAGAGGACTGAGGAGGACTCCTCTAACCATGAACTCTCTGCAAGGAAAAGACTCTCCAGCGGTTCAAAGAGCGCTGTTGTGCCCCATCACAGCCCCGCTTTCGGCCATCTCCACAGATCCTCTCCATGTTGCATCCTCTTTTCCATAGCTGTTCATTTTTGTTTGTTTGTTTGTTTTTATTGAGAGTTTAAGTTAATTTTATTCTAATAAAAGTTAGACTATTAAAAGACCAACCCCCCAATGTCAGTATTGCAGTTTGCGGCAGAGTTGATTGTGAACACAGCGAGGAAATGTATTATTCCCTTCTACTGTGTTTTTTTTGTGGAGAATACATCAGTAGTCGGTTTTGATGATTTCATTTTATTTTTTTTTAGTTCTTTTAATAGATTGATTTGAAATGGGCTTAAGCGTAGCTTTACATGTCAGAGCCACCTGCAGTTTGGAATGCTCGTATTCGTGGCTTGCTTCTTGTTTTCTTCAAGGGCCTTTAGGGGAGGGTGGCGTGTATTTCAAGCTGTATATAACGTGCGTGCATGGAAGATGGCGAGGGACGTTCTTTTCTTCCACAGAAATATTTATTCTTTACAGATATTCAAGAATGTGTTTGAGGCCCAGTGTGGCAGGGGGGCTTCAGCTTCACATATGTAGTGTTTGTGTTTGTTTTTTCAGTTAAAACTTGGATGCTAGAGGATGTTAAATCCAAGAGAGGGTGCAGAATATCAGCTCTGGAAGAAACGGTCAGCAAAAACAGTAGCTTTAATTTAAAATCGTCCACTGTTGCTCCTGACTGGCAGTCAAGAGCAGCAGATCCGTTCTGAAGGTGAACATATAGATGACTTTGGAAATGTCTTTCATTTTAACCAGCTGGCCAACCTTAATTTACTCACTGACCTGAACATCCACAACGCCCTCCCCTTCCCAACACAGCTGTGACGTGATGGGTAACACAGGACTACTTGTTTTTGAGAGCAAACATGAGTGATATTCACTCAAATTGAAAAGACAGCACGCATTTCTGCAGCGTTTTTGTTTTGTTTTCTTTTTTTGTTTTGTTTTGTTTTTTTTAAGAATATGCACCTGCACCTTTTTGAGCATTTGAGGAGATGGCACACTGAAAGCTGTGCTCGCCAGCCGAGTGGTGACTGGTCTTACTAATGCTGGTTACCAAAGCACTATGAGGATTAAAGGGGAACTTCAGTGGATTTCAACCTGATCTATGATTGGAGCAGCTGTATTGTATGGTCATTTACCACAGACAGTAATTTCAATACGTTTCCCACAACTTGGAAAAGAACAGAAATCCTGTTGACTCAAAATGCATTTAGAATGGAAGCCAATGGGCAGATGCTTCTGAGTTTCAAATCAGCGCTTCTGTTATTTTATTAAGTGCATTAAGATGATTCCTTGAAATGAATGAAAGCTTGTGTGGTGGAGCCAAGCTGCTTCTCGTTGGTTGGAAGTTGGCCTGTGACACTAATGCAAAGCAATGCTAACAACACTAATGTACAGGAAGGACGCAGAACACACGTTCAGCTTGTATGATGAGATCTTGTTTTGGTGCAGATTTATCCATGTTTTACTTTACGCTTGTTTGCCAGACTTTAAATTTTAGATGATTTTTATTTGTATTAATCATTTCATAAACACTTGTTTGAATAGTCGCTAATTTTGCCCAGTGCATCAGACGCCTGCGTGTGTACCTGAACCTGGTTTGTGAGGTAGTTTGACAGAGGTTTACTAACCGTCATTGCCACACTCACGGCTTTCCGGATAATGTGTTGCCTGGAGTGTACATAGTCATGTGTGTTGTCCTAAAAACCCTCATTGCGAGAAGCCTAAAGGATCCAGTGTTGGCTGTGCTGGGAGATTTCTTCACCAAAGTGTGAATATAGAAACAAAAAAACAACGAATACGGTCTCTGATCAGAGACGTGTTCATCTTCAGTGGCTTTCATGTGTTATAACCATTCTTACAAACAGAAAAATGTCCTATTTAAATAAATCTCATTCAAAAGTACTGAGTTTTAGTTTTTAATGTTTGACAATACAGATGTTTTCTTAAAGTGGAATTCCACCCATTTTTCAAAATTTCTGCATGAATTAATGGTTAGTATTTAAGCAAAGTTCGTTCAGAGTGGTTTGGTGTCAAACACTCCATTCTAGAAAAACTTACCGAGTCAGAATTGTTCACAGTGGTGGTGATAGGAACCAGACATCCACCTCTAAAAGCTCCCTCACAGAAAGTTACTGCATGAAATGGTTATGAATTCACTGCCTAATGACTGAGACACGGTTTAATGATAATTTTGAGAATGTTTTGATCTAAAATGTATAATGTAAATACATTCATGGAGGAGGGATACATGCAGGATGTTGTGAGGCGAAATAGTCCCAAAAGAAAACGTTCAGATTTTCCTCTATTTTACCATCATTAACATTAAATATAAAACTCAGATGACACGTGTAGGTTCACTGGTGGTTTTAGTTTGTTGGAAATTTGAAATATTGGTGGAATTCCCCTTGGGTGCAATTGAAGATTTCTCATGGAAGCTTTATCTCTCTCAGTGTGTCATAATAATACATTGGCCACTGCATTAGAAACCCGTCTTGTAGCTCCTCTTTGCTGGGGTACAGTGAGAGACTGTAGCTCTTCTGGTAATGCACTTTGTATGAGGTAGGAGTTCCTAAAAAAAGAGGCCAGTTAGTAGAATCACAAGGTGGGTGTTTCTAATAAAGTGGCCAGTGAGTACAACATTTTTCTGCTGGCTTGGAAAAGTTCCTGAGAGTGTCCTGCAGGGGGCGCTGCAGTAAATCAGTGAGACGCTTTTACGCCCTGATCTCACTCAGATCGTGTTTAAATGAGCTCTAAAGAAGCGAGTCGGTTTGGACTGTGTGGGATTATTTGGTGCTGCACCGTTTGAAGGTGTTTCCAGACTAATGCAGTGATGAGAGAGTCTGAGCTCTGTGGCTGGATGCGGTCTGGATGCGGTCTGGATGCTGAGGGTGAGTCCTGTAGTGGGTGAGCGACTCAAAACACATCTGGCTTTAATGCCGGACAAAATACAACCAACTTTCAGTTTTCTTACGTTTCAGATGTTTTAGCTTAAAGTAGTTTGATGGGTTCACTGTTTTGTTGCTGGATGTTTTAAAATGAGCTGATAGTGGATGTGTTTTTACAGTAGTTCGGGTTTAAAATGTAGCATCAGCATGTTTACCTAATCTAATAACAACAACAATAAAGGTGTGTGTATTGATACTTACATTTATATTTATAGAGCACTTTTCATCCAAGTAGCAGCTCGGAGTGCTTTGCAAACAAGTGCTTATCAAATTGAAAGTGGCTGTTTTTGAAAATGAAATAGCAGTATTAATGAAAGTGGATTAAAATATTAAAGGTAAATAAAAGCAGACACACAAACACACAAAGAATATCCAAGACAAGTAAAAAGTTACATTTTCTGTCGTTTTTGAAAGAGTAAACTGAGCTTGACTGTCTGCCCAATAAAAGCAGAACATTGTGTCCAAATGTAAATATGATTATATACATGTATACATATGATTATATACTGTATACACTGTCTGTTACGCAGAGTAAAGAGTACAGCCTCCACATGTCCATTAGCAGCTCATTAGATTGAACAGTAGGAGACAAAGGGGGGGTGAAGTTATTGATCCCTTTCACTTAGGAGAGGCGGGGTTTACAGAAAAGCATTAAACAATCTATAATGCATTAAAGCAATAATAAAATCTGTAATCTATAATATGTGGGCAGATGCTGTTTGCAGTTTGGTCTAAATAGTGTCGTAAACAGTGACGTGCACAGACTTTTGTGTGGGAGGTATTTTAATATTTTTCAGTATATTAACATATGATTATAGACAAAGTTATTTTTATATTGTGATATTTTGTGTGTAGATCTTTTTTAATTATACAATCGTAATGTCTATTCAAAGCAAATCTTAATAAATGTCCTATTAAATAAACAGTCAGAATGTAATATTCAAAACTGTATCTGCACATAAATTATCATATTTAGCAAATCAGTCAAGTATATGATGATGATGATTACTATTATTATTATTATTATTATTATTATTATTATTATTAAACGTTACTCCTTCAGTTCTGCAGCCAGTAGAAGGTGTAGCTCGACAGCAAATATCAAAACTATCTCCTTAATCCTCCAGATTTGTGAACTGATGGTCATTAATCAAAGTCAGATATGAAAAATATTCAAAAGGAGCGAAAAGCTATAAAACATTACCGTTAATTAAAACGCAATTCAGGCCGCGCTATGACTGTTACCATGGCAACGTGAACAGCTTGCGGCAGCCGGGCGGTTGTTGTTGTTGTTGTTTACTTTTTCCCGGTTGTTTGTTTTTAATTTCTTTTATAAGGCTTTGTTTTCTGGACCGGATCAGACTTTGATTCCCAGTAAAATATCGGATTCCGGAGTGAATTCGTTCAACCGGGAGTGACTTCCGGTCACCGCGACGAGGCTGAAGTTTCTTCTTCTCCAGCTTCTCGTTCGAATTTTCCGTTCCACCTTAAATGGTGCAGCAGTTACGGGCACCCGCACCGGCGCCAGAGTGCAACTGCAGGACGATTTAAGGTGGAACGGAAAATTCAAATAAGAAACTGGAGAACAGGAATCCGCCTTAAGCCTCGTGTATCCGCGGTGTGTTTGTGACTAAAGCAGTTCGGGTAGCTAAGCTAATGTTAGCCAGTTTGGGTTTAACACTGACTTCATTTCCATGAAGCTTCACTGGTTTTCGGTGAAGCCGAACTCTCAAATCACATCGTCTGGATATTATATCACACTGCGCCGCTAATGGGAAACATATTTACTGCCAAAAACAGCTGCGTGTTTCACAGTCACAGTTATACAATTAAAGCGAACCTGTGCGCATTTCACCCCACCTCTCTCAGACTGCTCATGATTTCATTTGTAAAATAATTTCAACTATTTATTATATATTAATTACTCTTTTCATTAATTACACTGCGTTTTACATGAGTAACTGTAAGGATATAAATTTTATAGGCTGGTCATTCACTGTGTAGCACCCTCAGTCAGGAGACAGTGACGTCATCGCGGAACAGAACAATATATATACACACCGCCGCGTTCTTTGTGACGTCATACAAACCATGACCACGCCCCCTGTGTCGCATATAAAAACCCCACTCCCCGCATTTTTTTTTCATTTCAAGTGTAACACTTGAGCTGTGCACGTGATCTTCGCAAACACTCGTTTTCGTTAAGTTCTTTTTCTGCAAATAGAAACAGTTATGGACCCACTGCCTCAGCAGAGGAAGGAGAAGAAGGGCCGGACGGTGGTCACCTTTCTACGGATGGTACTCCTCCTGAGCTGCTGTAGAGGTGGAGCTTCAGAACATGAGGAGGACCAGAATGAGCACCGCAGAACCCTACACGCTTGGAACCCCAAAAGAACATGCGCGCCGAAACCGAAAAAACCTAAGAAATCGTTTTTTAAGAAAGCCCTCGGAATGTTCACCAAACGGAATGGAAAGAACGGACAGAATGAAAGTGGAGGGGACGACAGTGGACGGAATGACGATGCTGAACCCAGTTCCCTGGGAGCTCCTCCACGCAGCCAAACGTCCACCAGTGACCACGAGAGCGCATCCGAATGGAGACTGCCTGGTGTTCCTGAAGAAGCACCGACTCAGAGCAGCGCGGAAAAATGCAAGAAAGTCACTTCCGCACCAGATCTGCCTGAGCCAAGACCAGGACCGTCCCACCATGAAGACCTCCCTGATTACACCGTCCTGTTCTCGGTTATAGACAACATGAACAGGGGGCCGATGGTCTTCAGTGGCTGTGAAGAACAGGGCAAAACTGAGAGAAACACTGTAACACCTGAGCTCCCCTGAGCCGAAAGCAGGACCATCCCACCTTGGAGATCTTCAGGGCAGCACCATCACGCTTTCTAAGAAGAAGAGCGCCTCCAGCAACAAGCACACTGAAGTGCCTGAAGAAGTAGCAATCTGCATAGAGGACCCCAGCGCTGCCACGGAAGAGACCACCCCAGATCTCCCAACTCCATCAAATCTGCACCTCCTGTGCTTCAGCTTGTCTGTTGTGGTGTATCACGCAGTTCTTATTTATCTCTGCATTTTTGTCTTTTCTCACCTGAACATGTAATAAAAGACTGACTTGTGCAGTAAAAGAGCTGGTAATGCAGTGCAGAGGAAGAAGAAGCAGAAGGGCCAGGTGGTGGTCAGCCTTCTGTGGATGGTTCTCCTCTTAAGCTGCTGTACAGGTGGAGCTTCTGAACATGAGGAGGACCAAAATGAGCTCCACAGAGCCTGCACACCTGATACGGCAAAACCTCCATGACCGCACCATCCTGTTCCCAGGGATGATGGCTCACCTGAACAGGGCGCCGATGCTCCTGAGTGGCTGTGAAGAACAGGGCAAAAGAGAGAGAGAAACTGTAACCCCTGAGCAGCAGAGCCGAGAGGACTGTCCCAACTCGGAGATCTTCACGGCAGCACCATCACGCTTCCTGAGAAGAAGAGCTCCTCTGGCAGTGAGAAGCACACTAAAGGGCGTGAAGAAGTTGCAGACTGGATAGAGGACCCCAGCGCTGCCACAGAGAGACCACCACACATTCCTCAACTCCATTTCTGACCCACTGCTTTAATAAAAGCCTGACTTGTGCAGTAGAAGAACTGTGACTGTATTTAATGAGTTCTGTATTCACTCACTAAGCACTTTATTAGGAACACCTCCCTGTACCTATTAACTCACTGTCCATTTCATCAGCTCCACTAGGAGCCCTTTGTAGTTCTACAGTTACAGACCGTAGTCCGTCTGTTTCTCTGCATACTTTGTTACCCTGTTCTTCAATGGTCAGGACCCCCAACAGGTATTATTTAGGTGGTGGGTTATTCTCAGCACTGCAGTGACACTGACGTTGTGGTGGTGTGTTAGTGTGTGTTGTGCTGGTACGAGTGGATCAGACACAGCAGGGCTGCTGGAGTTTTTAAACACTGTGTCCACTCACTGTCCACTCTGTTAGGCACTCCTACCTTGTTGGTCCACCTTGTAGATGTAAAGTCAGAGACAATACCTCGTCCCAGCTCAGCTAATAAATAGAAATTGTTATTATTATTTAAGTGTTTTCCCTGTAGAGGACGTGTTGATCAACAAAACATAATTTTACCAGGCGTTGTTCAGACTTTTGTATATATGTATGTATTTTACATATATATATATGAAACATGTACATCTGTAAATTTTAGTGCACAGTTTCTATTTATTTGCTGTTTAGCAAAATATTTTAACAATGTATTCAGTTCAGTAAACAGTTATTGTACATTAAAATGTGCAGAAGTGTGTCTCTGCAGAGGTATTTACTCTATTTACTCTTAGAAAATCAACAACAATATACCAGCTGGTGGGGCGCGCAGACTTTTGCAAACGACTGTATGTTTGGGGTGTTTGTGGTGGTGATGTTGGCAGTAGAAGTGAATCGGACTAAACGTACCGTTGAAGCTCATAGTCCTAAGCAGTTTTCTCCTCCAGCAGGCTGGAGAGAAGATGACGGCTGTTCTGAAGGTGAACAGGAATGGTGAGTCTTCACTACAGACTGCCTGATCACCGTCAACCGTCTTACCCTTAAAGTGAATATTTACATACATGCTGAATTTGTGTCAGTGCTGGACACTGTGAGAAGATGTTACCTGTTCCTGTACTACCTGCTCCAGTTCCTGGGGTTCACCTGGACCTTCAGCCGCCTCACCGCTAATCTCATTCTGCAGGGACAAAGTAAGACCCCACCTGCTGATAGAGCCCCACTACACTGCACCATTATTGTTATTATTATTATTATTATTATTGTTGTTGTTGTTGTTGTTGTTGTTATTGTTATAAACATCATTATTATTTAATATATACAGTTCTACATTAATTTGCAAATGTTTTGGCACCCCTTTTCAATGTACTGTTGATTTTCTAAATGTAAATAAGTGAACACGTTCTCTACAGAGACACAGTTCTGCACATTTTAATGCAGAATTACTGTTCATTTGCTGAATTTAACATTTTGGGAAAAATAAAACCTAAAATGTGGCCTTTGCAGATGTTATGACACAATTAAAAGTTTCCCAATATGTTAGATTCATAAAAAAAATAAATTGTACACTAAAATTAGCTTGTTCTCTGTAGAGGACATGTTAATCTATTTTAACTTAGAAAATCAACCAAACATGTTATTTGACCTGAGAGTTGAAACATTTGCATTTGACTGTTTAAGAAATATTTTTATGTGTTACTCATATATAGATCTAAAGTAAATTACATTAGTGTAAAAGTTAATTAAATGTCATTCTAAATAAATATAAAACTTATATATGTGTATATGTTTAACTATTGAGTAAAAGCACAACAAAGGTATGTTTTTTAAACTGGCTAGAATTTATAGAATTTATCTTAATTGCATAAAGGCTGATAAAATCTAAACAGCAGCCACAGTCATTAGTAAATCTAAAGAAACGTTTCAATAATGCTTTAACATTTTTATTTTTTAATGTTCATAGCTAGTCTACATATCAAAATCAGAATAATAATAAGAATACTGTATAATCTTACAACTTTTGCAGTACGTAGTGTGTATATTGTGTGTTTGCAGTATGTAGTGTGTATATTATGTATGTTTACTGTATGTAGTGTGTAAATTATGTATGTTTTATTATTTTATTATAATTTATTATGCTATATTATGTGTGTTTGCAGTATGTAATGTGTGTGTTGTGTGTAGGTGCTTTGTACAGTGCGTTCAGCTCCTGTGATGCAGTGCTGTATAGCTGTCAGGTGCTGGCGGTGCTGGAGGTGGTCAATGCGGCGCTCGGCCTCGTTAGGACTCCTGTTTTTCCTGCCATGATCCAGGCAAGACTGAACTGTTCACTGCTCGTGTTTGTGTTGCTGTGTCCTGTAGTGCTGACCCTGCCCTGCTGTTTGTGGTGTTTTGCAGGTGATGGGGAGGAACGTGATTCTGTTTGTGGTTTTCGGGAGTCTGTTGGAGATGCAGGGCAGAAGTGTGGCGTTCTACGTTTTCTACCTGTGGGGCTCCATGGAGGTTTTCAGGTGAAGCTGAGACACTAATGCTCTGTTCATACTGCAGGGCTGAGCTGGCACGGATGAGTCCTGATCCGAGTTCTTTGGCCTTTCTGGTTTGAGCAGGAAAGTCTCAATACTACTGGTCAGATTCCGTGTTCTGTTGATTTTCTAAGTGAAAAGAACCCACTTTAATTTGCTGTAATTTGCACTTTAAAGTACTGTTAATTTGCTTTTTCCTGAGTTTAACATATTGGGAAAAAATTAAGTATGTAGTGGATGTATTCCCTTTTTTTCACTTAGAAAATCATCAAAACATGGAATCTGACCAGGGTTGTCCAGACTGCTATAGCTTAACTGACTGAACTGTGTTGTTATGTCTGCTCCAGGTGTCCTTTTCACATGTTGGCAGTAGTTGGTAAGGAATGGAGGATGCTGTCGTGGCTCTGGCACACAGTGTGGGTGCTGCTGTACCCCCTGACCACTGTGGCAGAAGGTGAGAAGAGCCATCGCTTTATTAGCATAATAAATGCACAATATAATGAGAGTCTGTTAGTGTAACATATGATGTATAACATATGATGCTCTGGAGCAGCTACACATTACCCTAATCTTTGTCTTTTTCCAGCTAAGCTGTCCTTGTCAACATTTGTAGTTGAAGCTAACATTGCAGAGAAGCTGTCAGACTTACAGAAACACAGTTTAGTGAATTATTCACTCCTCCTGATCAGGATGAAGTCACCAGGCACTTTTCTATCACCAGTAAATGCACCAAAATTGAAAATAAAATGGTATTTTGGTGTTAAGGTTATTAGCATGTACGCTAGCTGCTTCAGAATGATTACTTTGCCAATTTTTGTGCACTTTCAAGAGAAACATAATATTTGCTTGACTAAGTATGATTCTGTACAGATGTAGATGTTTATGTGAGGATGTACCAGCAGAACAGTGCAGTATAAAAGACGCTCGTTTAATGGAGCAGTTTTCATTGTCAGAGGAGCAAGCTTGAAAATAAAGGGTCTAAAAGTAATGTTAGGCTACTGACTCTGCTGCTTCATAAAGAGTTGTCTGTGAACAGGAGAGAAATTATGTGACATTATCTATAAAAACAGGTGGTGTTATCTTAGTTTCCTAACTTTAACGTTAGCCTTGTCAGGCTTGTTAGCTCCCACAAAGGACATTAACAAGAAGTGAAAGATGATTTGAGCTGTGCAGCCGCCATTTTGGACTAACGTACTTTAATGACAATTACAATACATTCGCAATAGCAATTAACTGTAGTTACAACTGATGATGGTGTTTGGAAAAAAAATGAATGTTGACTTTCTTTTAATTTTGCAGTGATTTTTTTAATCATAAACTTGAAAAATGTTAACACTCAAATGTCTTTCAAAAAATGAACTTACATAGAAATATTAATGCCTGTCATGTAATTTAATGATGACTTATTTTTTTAGAAATTTACTGTTGTGCTTCTGATTTGGCTGTGAGATTTGCTAGTTTTGCATAAGATGTGATGAATTCTGATCCGTATGAACAGTTTAACCATGTAGATGAGGGACTTTTTGCACTTCTTGTCACACACCGCTCCAATGCACTCACTCACAATCAGTGAAAAGACACAGTGAAGCGCTTTTTACTGTTACACTGGTAACTTTTACAGTTTAGAACTGAACATTGTTTTCTTTGATTCCATTTCTCTTTTTCTCTGCCATGTTGCCTGTAGGTTCTTTTTTTCTTTTTTATTGATTCATTTCATTTGATTAAGTGCTTTAGACTGTAGAAGGTAAGTATTGCCAGGGGAATAAGATAACAAGGTAACAGTATAACAGCATTTCACAAAAAGAAATACAATTCAATACACACATATGAAAAAAAGACAAACATCACATCTTGCATGAGGTGAATACAATATTTCTTCAAAGAAGTTTAAATTTTGTCAATATGTTCATCAATTTAGCTGTTTTTTTACAATATATATATTATTGAACTGAGGACACATAGATGTAAAAGTTATCTTTAAATAAATTGTAATTTGGGATTCTGTTTTTACATTTGATTTTGGATAAAATATTGACCAAGAAAATGAACAGATAAATTAAATAGGCATGCTTGTTGCAGTATGTATAATAAAATAAAATATAATTTCTGTCTTTAATATAATGTTCATTTTATGTCCAGTATCCTTCTTTACATCATTCCAAATGTTCTTAGAATGGATACAGTTGGAGAAAATGTGTTCAATGTGTTTTCACCACAACAGTTACATAAATCCTCCACCTGTAGGTTTTATTTTGATACTGTTGCAGGGGTAATATTAATGAATGATTTTGTATGTGATTTCTTTAACCTTGTTATTCGGTACATATTCCTTAGATAGGGTCCATACCTTGTTCCAATCAATAACAAATTTTAAAGGTCTCCAGCACATCTATTATTAAATTGTTCTTCACTTATGTTAATTCCATTGATTGAAGCTCTATTGTTGTTATCAAAGGTTGATACTGTTTTATCTGTTGTGATATATATATACCCTCAGGAACAGCTTCTGTTACTGTAATATATTCTTTTGTACTAATTTCAATAAGCCTGTTTTATTTAAGTAGAAAATCAGAGTGTGAATAGAGTTGACCATTATATCGTTTAGTAGTTGACTTAACAGTAAATAGTGCCCCTGCACCAGCTTTCAAAGAATAAACTTTAATCTGTGACAGATGTGTCTGTTATTCCAGATAAAGCAGCGTTTAGGACAGCAATTGTGGTCTGTAGGTTCCCTGCAGTTCCCTGTGGCGTTCTGAGTCCGCTACCGCAGCTCCATCTAGCGGCGGTTGTCAACAATGCACATGAGTTTCGTCAGAGATCTTGTAGTGAGGAGAATTACTCTGTAACGTGTTCCAGGCTGCTCAAACGCTAGAGGGAGCTCCAGAGCGAGTCCAAAATAAGTGGGTTAATATGGAGCATTTGAGCAAAATCAAAGTTTGTAAATGATTTTAGTTTATACATGATTTTTAATATAAAAAAACGCATTCGTTTCCTGAACACTGAATAGCATAAAACATTTTAATACTGCTGTTATATTTTTAAGAGCTTTTAAACTCGAGTTATACGAGTTTAAAATGGCAACTCAGATACGTCCATGACGTCTGTGAGCGCGAACAGCCAATGAGCTGCTCCGTTTGCCAACCAATCAGCACTCAGTAGCGGTAATGCCCGCCTTCTGCTGCCCAAAACTCTTTGCTGTAGAAAAAAGGAAATATATGGTAATTTTTCTTTGCTTTTTTAATTAAATACATCTTTCTACTTTCTAAAATTAAAGGAATGTTCTGTATAAGCGATTAGAAACTATTTCAACTTTTCATTCATAGCTGTTGAGCTCCATTTAATCCCATTCATTGAGGACTCGCGGGCGCCCTCTGCTCTTCAGCAGTCCTGGTTTTGATGGAACGGGGAAATATGAAGAGGCCATGCTCCTCATAAACTGGGTCTTTGTTTCCTCTCTTGGGCTTCTGTACTCTGTGGCTCCTTGGTAGCCAGCGCTAACGTTATTAGCATGGATGCTAACATAGCTACGTCAAATCAGTGATGCTCATTTTTTCACACTTTCACAAGGTCAAATGTTGTCTTTTCTAAATATGTCTCTGTATAATTCTAGGTGTTTATGCAAGTGTTTTTATGCATATTAATGCAGTTTGAAGGTTTTATGAAGGTTTTAGCCCACCAACATTTTTTCACAAGCTCTGACTGACCTCCATGATATGACCATCGTTTTGCCAGTGGTGGTACCAAAGTCCTGTATTGCAGTGAAAGTAGAAATACTTTTGGTAAAAATATTAGTTAACTGACATGACTGCCAAAAATGTCCAAATCTGAAATTAAAAATTTCCTTTGGTCCTTATCGCTGCTGTCGGAGTAAAACCTTGTATTTCCAAAATGATAACTTTACTGGAGAAAAACAAAACATACTTTACTTTAAAGTAAGTCAGTGGAACCAGACTTTTTCCCAAGTGATTTTAAGTCATTTCTTATGGATCATTCATTATGAAATTTACACAGAAGGAAAAGAGCAACAGGCATTTTCAAATTATGTCAAAAACTGAAAAACCAATCCTGGTCCTGGAGATCTACCACCCTGCAGAGTTTAGCTCCAGCACTTATCTGACACACCAGGTAATGATGGCCTCTGAACATCAGATCCGGGTGTGTTGGAATAGAAGACTCCAGGGTGGTACGTCTCCAGGACCAGGACTGGGAACCCTGATCCAAGTTATTTTCAAAATTTTATCACTTTTGACCAAATAGAACAAATTCTGTGGCTTATCGTGCTAAATTTAGTTGTTGGCCATGAAAGGGTTAAGAGAAGTATCAAATAATATAATAACTATAACAACTTTTACATTTAATATTTAAACACATTTGTAAACAAATAACTTTGTATGTTACCTATTACTATAGGTAGAGGACTTTTACTCATGAACCAAATGTATTTCTACTTTTATTTAACTGCAGGACTTTTTGCCTCCCTCCCGTCATAAATGAACGTTTGTGTATTTGCCCTGCGGTGTAGAGTAGGATGGTTCTGTCCTTCTCAGCTGTGACCTGTAGTTTGTAAATCTGCTGTATTGTGTGTAGGTTTTTAAAGCTGAGCCATGCTGTGTTGCAGCTGTAGCTGTGCTCCAGGCTCTGCCTGTGTTTGATGAGACTGGGCTCTTCAGTGTTCCTCTCCCTGAGACTGTGGGCTTCTACATCAGTTTCTCCTTCTCTCTCAGACTCTACCTCCTCCTCACGCTCTTCGGTAAGATGAGAAAAACCTTAATTCTGGGCATGCCTAGTTTAAAGTACCCCTAAAGTTATAATAGAAAAAAAGTAAAAAAAAGGAAAAATCTTTGTAAATATTTTTAATAATTTATTAGTCAACATATACATTTGTTGTGCTAAAAATAGCTTAGGAGCATTCCTAAACCATAACACTCATAAAGAATGCAAAGATCTATGAATTATGTTTCTATCTATGCCATCGTGCTTTTCACAAGTAAAATAAATGTAAATGACGAGTAAAACAAATTCCGTTGTTGCCTTGTGGACGATTATTAACCTCAGAAATGCTGGCGTCCCTTCCACTTCAGCTCACCGTGGAAAGGGGTCACTTTGTCACAGCTGCTAAGACTGAAACTGGAGGATGTGTTCAGAATTGTTGGGGATCACCAAATACACAACAGTGCGAGTCCAAGCTGAATAAAGGATTTACGCTTTTCAGGGAAGAATTATTTCACAACTGTCAGCTAAAATTTACAGAGTGATAAAACGATGGATACACTCTTCAAATGAGGGTTCCTAAAAGGTTCTTTAGTAAAGAAAATGGTTCTATACAGAACCATGAACACTCGGAGAACCCTTTACATGATTAAACGGTTCTTTGCATCGCGAAAGCGTTCTTCAGGTTGATGGAGAAAGTGTTTTAGATGGTTCTATATAGAACCTGTTTGAAAAGGGTTCTGTATAGCACCAAAAGGGTTCTTCTATTGTTTTGATGTCAAGCTTGTCATAATAGCTGAAGCTGTATGTCGACTGATTCTGATGGTATTTTCTTTGTTACTGAGCGTGTTTACATGCACTTAATAATCCAATACCTGCAGATAATCAGATTTTGTCAGTAATCCGATCAACGCATTTACATACAACGCATAAACGTAACTCTAAAACCTTATGCCGCGGCTTATTTTTATAAACATCACGCCACTTTACCTGAAAATATGAACTTACATCACCAAGAAGATGAAGAATATTTAAATCCTTCATTTCGTCAAGAATGTTGGTTTCATCGTCGCTCCAAAATTGTTTTGCTGCGTCTCGCAACGCTGCTCGCTTTTTTCCGGTACTGCCATCTGTTTTCACACATGCGCAGTGAGAGTTCACAGGCACTGAGAAATCTGATTACTGAGCTAAAATCCAGCTCTCTTTATTTCTTAATTTCTAGACCTTACTCCAATCTAAGAAATCGATCAAGATCATTTGAATAATCAGATAACTGTAGAAATCCAATTATGATGTTGACATACTCACTGAGGGAATTTGAGGCTCTGCTTCTGCTTTTTGCTCTTCTAGTTAAAAAGGAGTGTTTTTAGCAAGGGAAGCTAATAGTTTGCAGTTCTTCCTGGTCATGAACAGGCTAAGATCCACCTTGATAAATTAAAAATGGCTTTATATAGTTGCTGTAATGTATCACCGTCATTCCCAGCCTTTCAGCTCTGCTCTGCCATATATTTTCTTTAACCTCCGCATTTTTATAGTCAGCTTGTCATAGAAGCTGTTGTGCGCTGCTACAAGCCACAGGTGCTACCTGCTACTACAACCCAGTTTCCAAAAAAGTTGAGACACTGTGCAAAATTTAAATAACAGCAAACTGCAATGATGTGCAAATCATTTAAACCCTATATTTAATTGAAAATAGTACAAAGACAACATATGAAATGTTGAAACTAAGAAATTTTATTGTTGAATGAAAAATATTTGCCCATTTTGAATTTGATGCCAACAACACTTTCCAAAAAAGTTGGGATGGGGGCAACAAAAGGCTGGCAAAGTTGTGTAATGCTAAAAAAAAACACCTGGTGGCTGATTGGCAACAGGTCAGTAACATGATTGTGTATAAAAAGAGCATCTCAGAGATGCTTCCAGAAGTTAAGATGGGGAGGGGTTCACCACTCTGTGAAAGACTGCACGAGCAAATAGTGCAACAATTCAAGAATAACATTTCTCAACATAAAATAGCAAAGAACTTTGGGCCCTCAGACAGCACTGCATTAAAAACAGACATGATTCTCTACTGGAAATCACTGCATGGGCTCAGAAACACTTCTGAAAACCACTCTCTTTGAAAACCCTTTGTCGCTGCATCCACAAATGCAAGTTAAAACTCTAAAATGCAAAGAAGAAACCATAAATAAAAAGGATCCAGAAATGCTGCCACCTTCCCTGGGCTTGAGCTCATTTAAAGTGGACCGAGGTGAAGTGGAAAAGTGTTCTCTGGTCCGACGAATCAACATTTGAAATTATTTTTGGAAATCATGGACACTGTGTCCTCCAGTCTAAAGACCATTCAGCTTGTTATCAGTGCACAGTTCAAAAGCCAGTATTCATGATGGTATGGGGTGCATTAGAGCACATGGCATGGGTGACGTGCACATCTGTGAAGGCACCATTAATGCTGAATGATATACACATGTTTTGGCAACATATGCTGCCATCCAGATGTCTTTTTCAGGGAAGGCCTTGTTTATTTCAGCAAGACAATGCCAAACCACGTTCTGCATGCATTACAACAGCATGGCTCCATATTAAAAGAGTCTGGGTGCAAAACTGGCCTGCGTGCGGTCCAGACCTGTCACCACTGAAAACATTTGGAGGGTAATGAAATGAAAAATACGACAAAGGAGACGCTGAACTGTTGAGCAGCTGGAATCCTATATCAAACAAGAACAGGAAAACATTTCACTTTCAAAACTACAGCAATTGGTCTCCTCAGTTACCAAACACTTACAGGAGATGAAGCACAGTGGTAAACATGCCCCCGTCCCAACTTTTTTGAAACATGTTGTTGGCATCAAATTCAAAATGGGCTAATTCAGCATTTAATATGTTGTCTTTGTAGTATTTTCGTTTAAAAATATGGTTTACATGATTTACATATGATTGCATCTATTTTTATTTACATTTTGCACAGCGTCCCCAACTTTTTTTGGAAATGGGGTTGTAGAACAGCTCAACACACAGCATTTGACAGTTTATTTGTTTGTTTAACCAAAACATTTGTACATTTTATTCATTTTATTCATGTTATTTCTATTTATATAGATTTTTTCTTTTTCTGATATGTACATTGACTGTGTTTATGTTTCAGGGCTCTTCATAAATATGAGGCACCTGCTGAGCCAGAGACGAAGATGTTTACGACTGAAACGTGACTGAGTGTTGCTTTGAAGCCCTCAGTTTCATTTATTGATGGTAATATGGTGATATACATTATTTCTTGGTGAATACAGACCTGCTGGAGGAACATGTGTCTAATAACATTCACTGACATGTTTGTATTGATTTAAACCAAAGACAATAAAATTACACCTGTTTAGAACTGACATATTTAATATCTGTAGTTGACCATTCAAAAGAAAGTGTTAAAAATGCTTAAAAGTTAAAAGTTCAAACTTACACACTGAATTATTCTTATTCTTATTCTTATTATTATAAGAAATGAATTTTGGAAATTTCTGGAAGTTACTCCCTGAAAAGTCATATTCAGATGTTTCAGTAAGGAGTTAAATATTCCTTAGAATTTTTACTTGACTTTACAGCCAATCATTCAGTTAGCTAATCAATCTATCAATCAATTAAACCTTTATTTAAACCCAGAATACATCGAGGGTGTCCCTCATTTGCAGTGCAGCTGAGCAAGATTAACCAACAAAAGATAATACATATGAGCAAAATGAAGTTTTAGCAACTAAAACAAGTAAAAGTATCAAAATTAATGATCAACAAAAATGATCAAGTAAATAGTAAAATTAAATATGACAACTATGAGAAACTAAGAGAGGTATTATTATGTATGTCTAGGAACCAACTGAAAACTTGCCAAGTTTAAATTTTCAACTCTAATTATTATGTAAAGTAATAAAAACAGATTTAAAAATGACTAAGAAAGATATAAATAGACAAAATTAATTTAAAACTGTAAAAATGAAACTTCAGTAAAAAATATATTTAGGATTCATCCAAAGTAACCACAAATATGTTAAGATAGCAATAAGTGTCAGTAACTAAAAGTTTTATAATTTATACATGTAAATATTGCTAGCATGTTTAAAGAAAATAATTTCTTTGGCTTTTTCAAAGTATTATCCAGCTTAATTACTCCCTTTGTAATGTCCACTTTATGACATGATGACCGATCACATTTACCAGTGTCACCAAAATAATACCTGCTCAGTAGGGGTCCTGTGGAGGTCCTCACTCTTGATAAACAGGATAACAAAATATGCATAGAGACAGATGAACTACAGTCTGTAATCTTAGTGCTGTAAAGTGCCCCTGTATGTACAGAAGCGTAAGATAAAAAAAAATTGAAGTGCACTCCAGAGTGCAAGTTCCACTTCTCCCTTTTTTCCACTACTGAGGTGAACCAGATGGGTAATGTATTAAAAAACAATATTAGCTAATACTTTGCATGGTACACCAGCTTTGAACAGCAGAGGGCAGCATTTTTTGGTGATGTTGTTTGTCATACCCTTTGTGACAAGTGAAAAAACCAGAGCCGGTTTAAGGGGAGTCTGGCCACTTCCCGTTTCCCCTCATTATATCAAAAACAGGACTGCTAAACAGGAGAGGGTGCCAACGAGGGAGTCCTCAATGAATGGGAGTAAATGCCACTCAATGGCTAAAAATGAAAAGTTAAAATAATTTGTAATCACTCGCCCAGAATGTTTCTTTAATTTTAGAAGGTAGAAGGATGTATTTCACTAAAAAAACAAAATTCTTGTCTATATATGTCCTTTTTTCTACAGCAATTGTTTTTCTGGGCAGCAGAACGCTGGCATTACTGCTAGTGAGTGCTGATTGGTTGATGAGCAGAGCAGCTCAAGGGCTGTTCGCGCTCACAGACATCACGGACATACATGAGGTCCCGTTTTAAACTCCTATAACTCAAATTTAAAAGCTTTTAAAAATATAACAGCAGCGTTTAATGCTGTTCACTGTTCAGGAAATGAATGCATTCTTTTACATTAAAAATGTTTAAGCATTTATAAACTATGAGCTCAAATGTTCCATCCTAACCTATTCATTTTGGACTC